TTTTAAATGCCTGCTGATGCAATTGTTAAAAACAGGCTTTATTCCAAATGACATTATTTAACCTACTTACCTTGAGACTTGTATCTTATTAGTCTTGATAAAATGAATTAGCTGTGAAACAAATCTCAAAGTGGACATATTATAGTATATTAATCAAGAATATATAAATTGCAGTGATGAGGAAAAGAGTGCTTGTGCAAGTGGCAGAATATTTATTTACTATCATATCAAATCCTTCTGTCCTTGGAAAAATTCATGAGCAGCTATACATATATAGTAAGGAGGGAGACAAGGACAACTGGTGAGCATTTCTTTGAGATTCTTCTCTTTTCTAAATGAACTGAAAATTGCTAACACTGTAGTGTTAGTTACCATTGCCATCTACAGAGTAGATATATGCTGTTTGATACTCAAAACTTAAATAAGGAGAGTTTGCATCTTGGTGTAAACTTGAAAGCTGTCGTTTATTTTTAGTTTCTTATGTAGTAGGTGTAAATATCTTGATGACATTTATTTAAGAATAAAAATCAGATGCTGTCACTTAGTAGTAGCTTTTTGAATGATACAGCATAATTTACAGGTTTTTGCTATTTACTGTTGCTGTGCCTCGTGTATTTCTGTGATGTTGCTTACAAATATCTAAAAAACTTTCTTAAAAGTTTGTATTGGACAGTACAGGAACTTAAGAGTTTAAAAGTGGCTTCCTTATAAAGAGTATAAATATATTTCTAGAGTTTCCCTATAAAAGTTACATAAAAAACTTAATACTCTTTCCCATGTATTTGTAGTTGGGCTGCTTTTACACACCCAAGCACCAGTGGGCAGATACTGATATTCCATTCACAAGAGATTCACTTTGCCTGGGGGGCTGAAATGGCTCTCCAAGTAACAAAATCTTTAGCAAAGTCACCTGAATGCCCCTTCTAGCTCTTCATTTCTCTCAGTTCTGTTGCAGATATTCCTGTTCCAGTCCTCTTGCAGATATTTCCCCTCTTAGCTGCATCATTAACTGCCTTCCTCCTCCCCTCATCACAGTCCTTGGGGAAAGGTTGGGCCGAGGGTCTTTTTAAATTTAAAACACTCCTCAATTCAAGTCAAAACTTCTCTGTTTTCTGTCAGCTAACTAAAGAATCATTCTACACTGAGTGGTAGCCAACTTGCAGGGAAATTAGTGTGTGCCTTATGTTCTTGCTCAGAGCAGAGGAATATTTGTAACAATTAGTTAGCACCCTGCAGTAGTTGCCAGCCGTGATTATAAAAACTACCATAATACGTGATTATTAAAACCAAAATTTTATTATTCACAAGAAAAAAAACCCATACAAAAAGTCTGTCTTTGCAAAATAGCGTGTCAGGAACAGAGAAAGGCATGAATTTGTTGTGCTGCTGTTTGCCCAACTACTTGCTCCAGCTCGCTGATGGACGCGTTACAAAGCCGGTGGATGCTCCCAAAGTGCTGCAGTAGAAGCAGAGCTTTTGTTTTCCCGACTCCCGGGATGTGCTGCGCTGTCTGGAACAGCGCTGGCTCTGCCAGCTGAGGTCGCTGCTTGCGCAGGAAGGGGTTGGTGCCCTGATCCCGGCTCTGCTCCCGCACCTGCAGCCAAACACAGCCGTGAGCCAACCGAGCAGGAGCTCTGCTCTCAGCCTTTAAAGTTGGTTCTTTCATGGCAAAGCAGGTCAGGGCAATCACCGGGAAGTTTTAGAAACGAGCTCCCTGCTTCTGTGTGTGCCCTGATTTTGATGCAGTTCCACAAAGTCTCACTAGGGAACGGTTTCTTAATGAAAACAATGATTTTTGTCATCTTTTTGATGCAGAGAAAGGCTAAACAATATAAGAACAATTTCCTTAGCCTTAGAGAAAGCAAAACCTCAAGTTGGTTTTGACAGAGAACTTAAGTGAGGTTGCCTAATGCTATCTAGTGGTACCTCGGTGCAAGATCACAGGAAAAAAATCCAGGATCATATTGTTCAACCTTTTTTTCCTTGTTTCTTGTTCCCAAAGGAGCCCTCTTCCCACTGAGCTATACCCCCATATCACTGTTGCAGGAGATTTATTCCTTACATTCAAACAATGTCGTGCTCCTTTAAGATCCCAGCTATCCCAGATCGAGAGCTTTCCCACATGCCCCACATTTTAAAAATATTTGCCCACTAACACAGACACTCACCAGCTGAACAATGAGCTGAGCAGCTTCTCCTTGATTTGCCACAGGAAGCAACACCATTCCAAGTTCGAGTACAACGAGTTTCTGTACTGCTGAGAAGTACTGATCACTTATTTGGGTTTTCTCTACAATTACAAGTCCCCTGAGATTGCTGCCCTGTATTGAAAGGGAAAAAAGAAGAAAAGACCTTGTTAATGACAAGCTGATGCAACATAACAGAGTGAAATTCTTTCAAGTATGAGCTGCCTGATGGCAAATCAGAGGAAGAACAGAAGTTGCAGCAGCATTACTGAGGTTTAATGCAGCACCATCCCACAGCTTCAGAATGATTCAGCTTTCCAGTGGAAACTATCTTAAAAGTTTAGCTAGAATGTAAAAATAACACAAGGAGAATGTTTTCAGAAGCACAGAATAAACAAATATCAACTGAAACCTTTTTATTTAGCACTTACATTTCTAAACCTCACCAATCTTCGTTTGAATTCATCCCCTGCAACCAAATCTGCTTCAGAAATATATAAAATGCAAGTTCTATTGGAAAGATGAAAGTCCACCAGTCCCAGGCCATCTTCAAAAATGAGTTTGACTTTCCCTTAAGGTGAGATTGTTGTAAGAAAAATACAGTGGTTAAAAACAAACAATTACTGATATATATATATATAAAACAGTAACTAAAAAAATTATATACTATAGTTATATATATACACTATAAATATAAATATATACTAATATATAACATATAAATATATATAAAGTATATATAATATGAAATATATACTATATTTTTATATAGTATATTTATAGTATATATACTATACAACTACTATAACAATTACTGCACAGCACAACCTTCCTGATGTGTCAATAATCCTAGTGACCTCACAATGAACTTTATATTCTGTAAAAGCCTTTCTTCTCCTTAAGTAAAACTGAGACAAACAATCCAAAGCACTGTGTGATGTACTTTGGTAATGCCAATTAATAGCACTCCAGATCTGTAAGTGTTGTAGCTGCTCAGTAAACTCTGAGCTTGAACAAAAATATCACACACTTTTCTGGGAGGATCATCCTGGTTTAGTTTGCTGTGCCAAGAGATGACAGCACAGGATCAGTATCCATGTCTAGTGGAGATGCACAACCACAAAGCCCCACAAGAGCAGATTCTGCTGCTTCTCTTCAGTGCTCTGCACCCATGAGCACATGACAGAGCTGATCACACAGATATATCACAGGATTCTTCAGTAAAAAAAACGTACCACAAATCTGGGACCAGTCAGGCACAGATTAATGCATATTCCAGCCATTCTTAACACTACTGGGTGATAGACGGGCAATGCTTTGCCAGAACTGTTTGTCCTCTTCCAATTTGTTTGTGCTTACCTTGTAGCCTTTGGGCTACCTCTGACCCTCTCCACTTCTCATTTCCAATTACATGACCATAAGGGACAACTACAGATCCTGCTGTCACAGGGAAGTTTGCTTTTGTTGTCATCAGGACTCCTTTCAAATCTTTACTTCAGTAGCAGTTACACCCTAGAAGGAAACGTGGAAGGGACAGTAACATATTTTAAAAACCTGTTGCAAACTTACATATTTTAATCATAAACTTAAGATGCAATATTCTAGAAGAGACACTTATCTCCTTCCCCAAGACTCCTTACAGTTATGGTTAGCATATCAAAACCAGTCAGCAGCTCTGTTCACCTGAACACAGGCTGCTGGCTTCAAATTCCACTTCCAGCTTTACCACTAAGTCTGAAAAATGTCTGAATTAAAATACAGGGATGGTGGAAAACCCCACACTGCCTCTCCCACGCCTTCATCCACCCTCCTGGGAGAAAGTCTGCTGGAATTGCAAAGCCGACTCCTGAGGCACCTCCAGCCACAGCTGGTGGGAGTCTCCAGACACATTATTAGAAGGGAATTGCTGGAAGAGATTATTGTCAGGTTTGCCAGCCTTATATGATGTTCTGACTTCAGGGGCACCTGGGAGTCTGGGAGGCCAAGGCATGATTTGAGGAGACACCACAGACAAGACAGTACTGCTGCAAACACAGAATCACAGAACCAACCAGGCTGGAAAAGACCTCTGAGATCATCAAGCCCAACGTGTGACCCAACCCCACCCTGTCACCCAGCCCATGGCACTGATGCCACATCCAGTCTGTCCTTAAACACCTCCAGGGACGGGGACTCCATCCCTCCCTGGGCAGCCCCTTCCAACGCCTCATCACTCTCTCTGTAAAGAACTTCTTCCTGATGGCCAACCTAAACCTCTCCTGGCACAGCTTAAGGCTGTGACCTACTGCCGGTTCCTGGGAGCAGACCCCGATTCCCCCCTGGCTCCCCCCTCCTGTCAGGAGTTGTAGAGAGTGAGGAGGTCTCCCCTGAGCCTCCTCCTCTCCAGGCTGAACCACCCCAGCTCCCTCAGTTTCTCCTCACAGCACTTGTGCTCCAGACCCTTCACCAGCCTCGCTGCTCTTCTCTGGACCTGTTCCGGCCCCTCAGCATCCTTCCCAAACCTAGGGGACCAAAAGTGGACACGGCACTCGAGGCGCGGCCTCCCCAGCGCCGAGCATGGGGCAGAATCACTTCCCCGGTCACAGATCCGCGCACAGACACCGAGGAAAAGTCAGACCCTCTCCCCGACCCGGCGCTCACCTGCCCGGCCCGGCCTGGCCCTCAGGAGCCCGACCCGCTCCAGCCCCAGCGCCCCGCGGCGGGGCCGCTCGCCCTTGGCAACCGGCTGAGTAAGGCGCGCTCCGATTGGAGGAGCGCGGGCCCGCAGCGAATCCGCCGCGCCGTTGTTGCCGGGCGGGTTGCGGGGGTGAAGCGTCTGGGGCGGTGCCCGGGAGGCAGCGGGGTCGGGTCGTTTTGTCCCATCCCGTCCTGTCCCATCCCGATGTCGTTCCTGTTCAGGAGAGGCCGCCCCGGCCCCTTCGTGAGTATCGCTCGGGGTATCCCCGGGAGTGGGGGCAGCAGCGCAGCGCTGGGCTGTGCGCGGGCGGGACGAGGGGAGGCCCCCCGGGGAAAGCGGCCGGTGCCAGGGATCGCTGAGCGGTTTGACCGAGGTGAAAATCGGGGGGAAAATAAACCCCAGGCAAAGCCAGGAAGGTGTCCGGAGGCTGGTGTGCTCCTTTCCCTCAGTACCAGTCCTGCCTGGCTTCTCCAGAGGTCTGGACCCCGGGCTGGACCCCAGGCTGGATCCCGGGCTGGCTCCGCGCTGGCAGTGCCGCTCCCTCTCTACCGAGGCGATCCTCGAAGCGCACATTCACTGCTCTAAAGTGAACTGATACAAGTTACTGTATTAATTTACTGTTAAAAGAACCCAGCAGACTTTCCTGTAGTTGGTGACGTTAACACATAAGTGGTTCCAGTTAGTGTTACAGTAGCTACTCATAGTTGGCAGACTGCACAGCTGTGAGTGTAGCAAACACCAGGATCTACCTTCTCTTAGAGGAAAACACTATTCTCATTGGAACCACTTATATGTTACCGTTACCAACTACAGGAAAGCACGTTGGCGTTTTCTTAACACTGAATTAATGTAATGAAATTAACGTCGGGAGATTAACGTAATGAGAGCTCAGGGCAGCCGAAGGTTGCAGAGTTGCCAGCAATGTTATCTCCCAACGCACTTGAACTGATTGAACTCTTGTTATTAGAATTAAAGTATCGATCCTCTGTTGTTATCATGCTTTTTACTCTTAGTTCAGCTGTATTTCCTGATACCCTGATTCCCCGTATTCCCTGATCACAGTAAGATATTTCCAGTCACCAGCCTTTAGCAAACAAACCGGTGTGTCCCAGACAGACCTGCAGAGTTCAGGAGCAGTGCATTAAGATGCAGTAAGATAAGGCTGAGTAAAAATGCTGTCTTTGTAATGCACCATTTAGTTATTTGATGTGCCTTCCTGTGAAGACAGAAGTATTTCCCATTTTGCCTCTTCATTCCCCTGTTGGAGTAGTAAATTAAAGAATAACTTGGAGAGGGAGGGGGAATCTCTGTAGAAGAAATAGCAGGAACTTGGCCTGTTTTACTCCATCCAAAGTTGATGGATGTTATTATGGCCTCATTTATTCTGATGCCTAGAGACAGGACAAGAGGCAATGAGCACCAATTCAAACACAGACAATTCAGCTTAAACCTGATAATAAAATACTGTGAGGTGGTTCAACACTGGACCAGGTTGGGGATACACAAGATGTGACTGGGCAGGGTCCCCAGCAACTCCCTCTGGTTGACCCAGCTCTGAGCAGCAACTTGTACTAGACCAGAGCTCCCTTCCAACCTCAACTATTACATGATTCCATTCTTTGTAGGGAACTCTGGTCCCACTTCTTCTGAGCTGGTGTTTAATATTATCCCTTTTAAAAAAATTACTGTGTTTGCTGCTAAAGCATTCATTAGATTTTTTTTTTAATTCAGGTTGAACCCTTGACTGCAAGACTTAATGACAGGGTTATTTGTCCATCTCATACTGCTGTGACTGAGGGTTAGTTCTGACTGACAGATTCTTGAAGAAAGGGACAAATATTGTCACTCTGAAGCAGCATTTGAATATTTTGAAAGAAGTTATTTTCTAGTCCTGTTTTTCTTGTATGTATATACAGGAAAAAATGATGATGTTAAAATTCTGGTTTTGCAGATTGTGCCATATAGTGGGTAGAAAACCTTCATTCATGGTTCTCATGTAAATTACTTTCTAACCTCCATTTGCAGCTGTTCATACATGTAAAAAGTTAAATTGGAACCATTTCAAGTCCTCAGTTTGCATCAATTGCATGTCATTGTTCTTCCTTTTTACATTATTTCGCATTGTCAGTTTTTGTGCGTGTTCAGTTCTGTGGTTTGTTGTTTGTTTTTTTTTTTCATTGTAATCCTTAAAAGTCATTGTCAACTAATTTTATTTTAAATTGTTTAGAAACATATAGCTCATGGCCTGGTCCCTGCTGCCACCATAGCTCCTAAACCTGCAGTTCCCCGCACCCCTCCCCCTCGTAGTCCAAACCCTTCTCCAGAAAGGCCCAGGTATGTTCTGATTTTTTTTTATTTTTTTCCCTTCCTCAAGTACTATAACTTACTAGAAATGCATGATTAAAAGAATCACATGTCCTTGCTGCAGTATTTGTATAAAGCTTTTCACAAAACCAATATATTTTTAAGTGGGTCGCTTCCCCTCTTTTCAAATTTTTCTCCCACTCCTAAGTGTGCTACATACTTAGGGTAATAACCATTAAGAATATGGAACTTGTCTGAGTCAATGAAAGACAAATGGACTGTTTAAAGTTAGAGTAATTTTTAATTTGGCTGCCACAGTAGACCGTAGAGCTGCAGCAGCACTAGTGCTGTGAGTCAGGAAATTTTAGCACACTAGAAAACCGTAAATTAAATGTTATGGATTTTTTTTTTTAAGTCCCATGACAGGGACTTAAAAAACTGGCATAATCCATTGGATTGGATGTAGCAATATAGGCAAGTCACATAGAAAAAACCACAAATCTGTTTTTCTTCTAAGTTGTAGTTTCTTACAGTTTTTAGTCTATATTTTCTCCATGTTTAGTTCAGTTCCAGTTGTTTTCCATGGCCTTTCTATAAGATTCCTACTTAATCCTAGTTCATTTCTTCTTCCTTTTTGACTTCCAGTTGTTTTCTTTCCTTTAGAGTCCTTGCCATTTCTTTGCTTTAATCTTAGTTCCTACTAGTTTTTCCTCTTCATCATATCCTTTCCCATACTCCACAGTGTCCCACAAATAGGCACTTCTGTTTACTTGTCCTGGTTTGCAGTGTGCCAACATTTATTAACAACTTCAGAGTCATCAGTAAAAGGTTCAGGGTAGGGAATAATGGAAACTAGGAGGCAAAATAGCAGGACTTGGAACACTTTTTCTACACAATGCCAGGTAGTATTGTTATGACTAAAGTGAATGCTAAATGTTGTAAATGGTTGATGTGAATTTTAGGAAAGTAACTCAGAATATGTCATGATTTTCATGCATGTGATTTGGGAAAAACAGTAGGTATTGTACTGGAAAGCTGCATTACAATGGCTTGCCCCATTTTGTGCTTTCCTTTGGGAGTTAATAGTTTATAACCAGTCCTGTGGGCATTCAGTGGGATTTATGCTTGTGAACTGTGAACACTTTGCTTTGCTTAAATAGTGAAGACGTTTTGCAAAGGAAGATATGTCAAATGTGGAGAGCACAAGAGGACAGCAGCATTGCTTCCTTGGTTTTTCTCTGTTCTCTTGCAGGTCTGCTCTGGCAGCAGCAATCCTTGCCACAGCACTCACAGGGCGCACTGTTGCTATTCCTCAGCCTCGGCAGAGATCCCTTTCTGAGAGTGATTCCACCTCTTTGGAACAGGAAGGGTTTGAACCATATGCAACAGTGACCCAGCTCAGAATAGGGTACTGTACACTTCTGGTTTACTATCTCAGGTTAGAAATAGAACCTGCCAGTGATACAATTTTACCAAAGAGTTACAGCAAACTCCTGCTTTTTTTCTCACCACATCATAAATTCAGTCTGAAGTGTCTACAATCCTTCTGCCGTTTCTTGTGAAGTCTTCAGAGAGGCAGACTTGGATTGTACAGCAGTCAGAAGTAAAAATCATATATTATTTCTGCCAGGTGTGATTAACTGAGTTAAATGACACATGGCAGATATTACAGTTACATGACAGATATTTCTTTAGGTAGAATTAGCAACCTTCTATCTCTAATGTGGCATTTTCTTTAAGATGGAGAGGACAAGGTAGTTCCAGTATTAATTGTCTGGTTTAGAGCACACACATAGGCTAGATTCCTAGTGCAGACATTCGCCTCTGTCAGCTGTGTGGACTTGTGGTGTACATTGTAAAACTGATGGTTCTACTTTACTATGTGGGTTTTTTTGAAGAGTGAGCAGCAGAGTTGAAAGTGGCATTAAGTTGCTTTTTACCTGCAGGTCCACCTGGAAACCTGATGGTTGTGACAAATCTCCTGTACAGTCCCTGGAAACATCAGGCCACTATGGTGAAGATGAGGACATGGATACCTATGTCTCAGATGCTGATAAAGAGGCAGAGTCCAGCTGTCAGAGTAATGAGAAGAGGGAAGAAAGCTTTAGCACAAATGCTGTTTATGCTGTTCCCTGCAGAAATAAAAAGGTAGGATTTTTAAGTGTGTTAATTACTTTACCATGTTTTAATATATTAATGCACATGTTAAATATTTCTGATGCTTAATGTTTTCTTCTTATTCTTCAGACATTTATTCAGTGTTTATTTCACATGCTTATTTTTGTGATTCATTTACTCTTACATGAGTTAGGTTTGTTGGTTCTCACAGATTCCCTCTCTCTGATTATTGGGAGCCTTTTCTTACTGGGAAAACACTGGTATTTTATATAATTATAATGCATAATTTATTCTTGTAAAATGCCCAATAATTTATGTTGCCATGGTACTTACATAGTAGATGATTTGTTAAGAGCACTTTACTCTTAAATGGTGAAAGCTTAGTTCATGTTTCAGTATTGTGCTAATGAGCACAGACTTATAGAGACAGGGAGATTGGGAATCAAATGAAATAAATTACCTTGAAGATCAGGAGCTTCTTCTGTGTTATAATTTTGGATTGTCTTAAACAGCATGCACAACTTAATACTCCTAAGGCATATTTAAAGTTCAGTCCAAAATGATACAAAAATTTAACAAATGGGAAGAGGTACCTGAGTAGGAGAGAGGCAATAAAATGCCTCTCAAAAAAATGCTTCTTCAAAAAAAACAACACTAGGGAAGTGGAACCATCAGTCTTTCACATTTTGGAGTTGTGGTTTGTATTGTAAGAAACCAAAAAACACCCCTAGGTGAAGAGACAGTAGTAGACTACAGATTTCAGAGAGATATCAAAGCAGAAGGGCTGTTTTAACACTGATACCATGATTAAAATAGGCTTGTCTTGTTTTTTCATAGGAAGAGTTTCTACCATCTCTCACCTCTAACACTGACAAGAAAGAGGTTCCTTCCCAGGAAGCTGAGTCTCAGGTGGTGGTGGATAAATCAACTTTGCAAATAGAAGGTAAATAAACTTACTGTTACTTCAAAATGCCATAAACCATAGGGAAAGTAATTTTTGAATAAAATAAATGTAATACTATGTGATAATGGTATAGCCCTTTTTTAAAAGAGCAATTAAAAATGCTACTATTTACTTAACAATAATTTTAAGTAATTATAGAACATTGAAAAGATGCATAAAGAGGGAAGATTGGTCTATATTCACTGTGGAATGACTTCCTAAATATCCACTATCAGCCAGTGTAAAAAGAGAGGGGGGGAAAAAAAGGTTTTGTGAACTCTGTCTTGTCCAGTACAGTCATTCTCTACTATAAATCCAGTGAATCAGTTCAATTTATGTTCTGGAAATCTGGAGTGTTACTGTGCTCAAAAACTGGAAAAAATTAGGAACTATAGAAACTACCAATGTTAAAAAAAAAAAGCTGCAGATAGAGGAGAACATTTTTAATCAGTCATGTTCCTTGTACGAAAAAAACCCATCAGTAAGAGCTTCTGGGTTTTTTAATAATCAAATGACATGATAGTAGTGTTGCTTGTCCTTTCTACAGAAGTTGAATCATTATTGCTGTCTTTTAAGGTCTAGGCCTTAAAACTGTACATCAGGTCACAGAGGATGTTTCTAAAGAATAGAGAAATTACCCTGATCGTCAGGCTCAGGTTATCACCCTAAGCTCTGAATTGTTAAGCTTCACAAATAACTTTTTTTCAATAAGTAATTTCATTAGATCAGAGACATTTGGTTTGTAACTGGACCTGTTGTTAAGCTGTTTTCTTGTAGCAATACAATATTGTGGAGAAAAAATTAAAACAATACAACAAGACCAATCTACTTGTGTCACAGTTTTATTGCATAATTGTCTCGTCTGTTCTTTTAAAATCAGGAAAATGGGAAATAATTAGTTTCAGAGCTGGAAAATGCAGTTTTTACAGTGGATGGCAGCACTCTGTAGCTATTGAACAGGAAAGAGAAAGCAGAACTGAGTCTGTTTTGAAAAAATATTGTCTTTATAAGTTTTATTGTTTTAGATCCCAGTGTTTTTTCAGTATTATATCAGTGAGATATTTGAGAAGTTTTATAGAGAATAATATCCAAAAAGAATAAGTTCCTTTCATAAAACCATTTGGAAAATGAAGGCATTGAACTGAAAAGAACAGGATATATACACCATTTCTAATCCCTCTTCTACACAGTACGTGCTGCAGGTCTTGGAAGCTGCCAGAACTGCACTTGCTTTGTTCAGAGATGCAATAGGATTCAAGCCCAGTGAAATCAATGAAAATACTTCACTTGTCCTTTAGTCAAATTCTAAAATGATAATAGAAGCCAACAGTGCAGCATCATTTCTTCCCCACTTGCATCTATACAGTGTGAGGGAAAGGAAGGTCTCACAGCAGTGTCCTAACACCCCATGAAAGGGATAGTGGAAAATTAGTGAGCTAATCTGTGGGTTGGGGAGGACTTTCTTACATTTATTTGCATTGTACATATGTGTGCATACATATCCTTATGAACCCTTATAGTTTACAAATAATTTTTGTAGTTACAAACAGTTTTTATTTCAGTTGACTGAAAGATCTGTTTTTCTTTAGCAGAAGACCAACATCTTGGCTTGAACTTAAAGGTAAGACTTAGATAAAGGTTGATTTATGATGTATTTTGGAAAATAGGGTGTCATAAAGAGCTGTTAGTTTGCAGTCACTTAAAAGAAAATTAATTTATTGCCACTAGGGAATCTTTTTCTTTTAGAGTACAAGAATGGCTAACCATTCCTTTTGAAGAAATACAGCTATATAGGTAAATATACATACAAAAGTTGGATTGTTTTTTTCTTGTCTTCTGTTACTTCTCATGTGAAAGAAAGAAACTGAGAATGGGACACATCACACTACAGCAAGACATGGCTCTTACTGATAATTTTCAAATTCTGAGCCTGATTTCACCACATTTTTCTATAGTTTTCCAACTGGGCCCGTCTGGCTGCTTTCATAAAAGAAAAAGAATACCCAAAAGTTTAGTTTCTCAGTTTTAACTTGCTGGAATATTATTTACAGAAATGGTCAATTTTTCCATGGTTATCATAACTTTTTCCTTCAAGTTCTTGAGCACATATGTTTTCTTTTGAAATTGTTCATAAGTTTTGACTCACTTAGTCATCAATGTCACTCAGTGTCATCACTGTGTTAAATTTCATGGCATCACATCCTTACAAAACCTCACTGCTGTTTTATAGGAACATGGAGAAAGTCTCTATTATCATGTTCACCTCAAGTAAATACATTGGTTAAATGAGCCTGGATTTCTTTCCTGGTGAAAGAACCTTCCAGAAATGTAAAAATAGGTACTTTTATTTTTTTTACAGCAAAGCAAGAACAAAATTCTTCAACTTTAAAGAACATTTTCCATTTTTATTTATTTGCTGATACCCAGTTAGGGACTGGCAGTTCAAGTTCATATCATAATTGATTAGTCTAAAGTCTTATGTTAGTGGGAACAATATCCATCCTGTTTGGTCAAGACGCCTTATGTTTATGGGACTTTTATGTCAGCCATAAAAAAAAATATTTTGAGAAGTATACATTTCTTATAACTAAAAATAATAGTGACAGTTTCAAATGTCCACAAGTGACTGAAGGCAGTGGTAAGTGACAAAATGATGCCAAGATGAGTGAGAAGTTTGTGTATTCTCAGCAGTGAATCCAGCCTTAAATTTTGTTAATATAAGAGAAACTCCTTCTCAAGTTTTGTTTCTTAAGTTCTCCAACAGTGATGCTGTTCAGAGAACTACAGAAAGGGTGACTGTTAAAGCAAATTATCTCATATTTTATTTCTCTACTAGGAGGAAAAACCATTAGCTGAAAATCTGATAAGTGAAAAACCTCCACCATCCCCAGGTACTTTGGATTTTTCTATGCCTTTACTACACCTCTTCACTTAATAATAGGCATTTTTATATAAAAATACATTTTTCTGCTTGTATTTGTGTGTGTGTGAAAGTATTTTCCCTGTACAGGAGATGAGAAAGTGCTGAGTGCTCTGTGATATGTATCAAAACAACAGTCCCAGGCTTTTTGTGTTAGGTGGCTTAGACTTGTTTTTTATTTTCCAATCTGAGTGACTTTTGAAGTCTAAAGTTAAATGATTGTAAAATGATGTAATAAAGTCATGCTGGACCTCTCCAATACCTTAAATTTAATCTACACTGGAGGGTGTCACCATTATTAAGTGTGTCATTGCAGCTGAGCTGGTGAACACACACAAGATCCATGGGCTGCCTTCCTCAGTAACAAGGGATAGCTCTTTATTTGGCTTCAGATAAATCTTATTCTAAGGAGCTGTCCTGTGCTGAGTTACACTGGTGCCTGTGTGCTATTAGGTTATACTGGCAAGGCTAAAATTCATTTTAATAGGTCACCTGTTTATCCCATACAGATGGCAAGGAAAACTTGGAAGTGTGAGCCATTATTACTGATGCAACAATATATCCACGGTTTTGCAGATAATCTAACATTTTACTTTTGTAAGGATTGTTAAGTAACTTCTTTTCAGTAACAGATCATTGAAACTGTGGGAAGAAAGGTAAAGCTTTCATTGTATAGGTGATGAAAATAAGAAGGGATCAAGAAGACTGACTAGTCCATGCAGTGAACATTTTTGTCTCATCTCTCTGGTCACTGATGCTTGGGAGAGAGAGATCTGCTGGCACTTTCTTTCCCAATTAAAGAAGGAATGTTTTCAGTGTCTGAGAGAAAAGGTGGGAGCTTGCAGCCACTCCACAGCTCTCTCCAAACCTACTTTTTTTAATTCTTTCTGATCTTATCTTTTGGGAGCCATGAGCTGATTTATATCTTATAAAGTATCACTCATACATCATGCTGATATTGGAAAAAACTGATTGTAATTTGCTGAAACTCATATTCTGGTCTGAATACCATTTAAATGCCTTGGGCTGTGCCATTGCAGATGTGTCTGTTCGGACAAGGCAAGCATGGGAAAATATGACTAAAGAAAAGTTCAGAGAACTAAAACAAGAGAACTGGTCTCTGAGCAAGGCATACCAGGCTGTGGTGCAGCAGCTGGAGGGAACAAAACAGCAAATGGAAGAACAGCAGTTAAAGCTGAAGAAACTAGAACAAGAAAACAGAAGGCTTAAAGAAGCTGCAGAGGACTCACATAGAGAAGGTGGGAGAAACACACAAGCCATTCTGTAGCTATCTGGTGTGATTTTTCTGATTTCTTACAACCTGTTCCTGTAGTAGTAGCTTTCAAGTCATTGATTTAGGCAAGTATCTGTGCAGAAGTAGTTTCCAAACTTTTGGAAAGTTTTCTACATTTGTAGAAATTTTGTCAAGGAATACTTACATAACCGTGAAAAAAAAAATACTTGGTGGTTGGGTTTTTTATTATAATTTTTCATGGGATTATTCCATAACTGTATTTTGAGATAAGTTCTCTTATGATTCTAGTTTATTGAAATTAATTCTTTTTCATTACAATTAACAAATTGTTGTGAACATTTCATGAGTGTTGATTGAACTTTCTTGTTGGATATTTGTTTTAACAGAGGAGGCAACAGAATTACTTTCTCTCAGACAACAAGCACAAGAACTGGTAGATGAAAATGATGCTTTGAAAATGGTGGTCCATCGTTTAAATGTAGAATTAAGTCGCTATCAAACTAAATTCAGGTCATTGTCCCAAGAAGAGGTGAGAGTCTTGGTTATAAAGGCAGTTTCTACTAAATTGTCCCATTGTTATTTATTTTTTGAGGTTTTTATTTTCTCCGAGTTTATTACAAAGTCTACAAATTGCACAGGCTTTTCCTGAAATTTAAAATAAGCCTTTATCATTAAGTCTAACTTCAAGAAGTCAGTAGTATTCTCCTGTGTTAGTAAGATACTGAACTTCCAGTTTTGTTGACTTTGAGTGTGTATAAGATGTGCAACACATGTAATTAGAAACATAAGCTTTGTTGTGACTGCAGTTGGTGCTTCAAAAAGCAGGAAATAATATCAGTATCTTTTTAAAAATCTGCTCTAGCATGTAAAGCTGAAAAGCTTACCCATGAAAGGACCACCACCACCATGGCTGGTAAGTCAAATAGTATTTTCACTTCTCTGTTAATTCCTTTCTAAGTAAAGCTGTAGAATTTCTTTACTGGAAACAAAACATTCAGGATATTATTTACCTAATTTGCTGAACTATCACAAATTAATAGAATATTATAAATATTCTATATATTCAATATAAATACCTTCTTCACTTACCATTGTCTAGCATATAGTTTGCTTCAAGGTCTCCCAAGTTCTACTGCTTAATTGTTAATCTCCTTAACTGTCAATCTTCTGCTGTTATTATTTTTAAGATGATACTAAAAGAAAGTAGAATGTTTCAGTCATTCTGATGGTAGCCTATGAATTTCTGGCAAGGAGAAGGCAAATAGTCTGTGAGATTCAATGCATTTGTAATAGGTAAAAGAATTTCTCCTTGAAATGCTGATCAGATCTTACATTTCCCTTCCTCATTGTTTTTCAGAACTGTGTTGTACAGGAAAATCCTCCTGCTCTGTCTTTCTAGCCATAATAGCCAGTAATCACGTACTATTTAGTTTTAAAAATGCAGATTTGAGAAAGTAGAAATTTCTTTCCCACTTACTAATGAATCTGGGATAATTTTTTAATTAGTGATAATCACTGTAGTGTTTCAGTTTTGGTTTGTATTCATTTGCAGCCACATTCTGCTGTTAGAGCTGCTTTTTAGTGAAGTGTGTCAATATAGTGTCCAACTGCCCTTTTGTCAGCAAGTCATATACAAAAACTGTTCACAGCTTTTAAAACTAACAATCTATAGCAGGAGAAGTAAAAAATACGGAGGAGATTAGTTTTTGTAATTAATTTCTATTTATTGATTTTTTTTTTTAAATTTTCTTTTAAGTTGGATATGAAGTATTTGTCACCTCTTCTGTTGGCTTATGAAGACAGAATAAGAGAAAAGGAAGATTTTATTCTTGAACATGAGGCAAGTTGCCATTTAAAATACACACTGAAGTGGAAATATATGACTGACATTTTTTGAAGGGATTTGTCAATGCTCTTTTCTGCTTCAAGTTTGAAGTGACTTTGTTTTACTTTTCCATGCATAGTTATTGTGTCTCATCCTTCTTGACTTGCTTGTTTTTGTCAGCCTGTTCAGCTTCAGAAGTGGGCACTACACTGAGAGGTGGAAGATGGGCTCTAAGAACAGAGTAAATCATAAACAGTGGTAGAAAGAATTTACTGCTGTCATCCATAATGGGGATTCAGTGCTCTGTAGAGCTTCTCTTCCACCTGCTTGTGGGTATGAAAGCAGAACTTCCATAGGCTTTAAAAATAGATTTATTTCCTTCAAAAAATTAAGCCATAAAATGAGCAGAAAACACCAAGGATTTTATTACTGTAAATTCTCTGTCTTGTCCTACCATATTCAAATCCATGTCATTCCTTCTAAAAATGTATAGTGTCATCCAGTAATTTCCAGAATTCTGTTTTTTAAATACGTATTTTAAGGATCTACGACTTGCAAAAATGTGGCACAAATCAAATATCAGCATTCTTTTAATCAGCTATTACTAGATTGGTGAAACAATTTAGAAATAAAATATGCACATCTGAATTAGAGATGAGTGAGTTGTGAAATAATATGCTATTAAGTCAGGAATTAGAAACATATATGTTTATAAAGATTTTTTTTGATGTAAAAATTAAAACAAAATACTTACCTCTAAAGAATTTTATGTGAAATCCTTTGTCTTCCAGGAGGATATGAAGAATTTTAAAGCACGAGTTGAAGAGTTGGTGAAGGAGAATGAAGACCTGCATGAGCGATTAAATAAAAATAACTTCATTACCTCTACAGAATGGCAAGTTATATTACTGGAAATTAATTTAAAAGTTACTCATTATTTTGCTTATTGCATGCAAACTTTGAAGATTACAGATTCTAAGGAAAAATTTTTTTCCCTTCAGGCAAATTGTTTTGCTGAAGGGGTAATAGGGTCACGATTGCCTTGATGGAACAGTGCTGATGTGCAATGCCTGGAATCATTTTGGAGCAAAGGTTCAATATGAATGTGCAGTTTTGCACCTGAAGCCCATGTAATTCTGTCCCAGATTTTGAAGGTTACATACTTTTACAGTGTGCCAGTGACATCAGTTTTCTGTTAATATAAAATGGCAACGGAGTGTGGCGTTAGAAGAATTCAATATTCTTGAGAAATGAAACAATGCAAATGTAATGAAGTTAAGTAGTAGAAAATACTTGAGACTTAAGAACAATTTACCTGAGACATTCATCTGTTGGTAGCTGAGATGGAGAAGAGACTGTTTGTACTGGTTCATTGCAAGATGATTGTGAGCTTTTTAAGGCAACAGCTATAAAGAAAAAGAAAGGTAGTACAGTCCTGGGCTATTTTAGAATAAGTCCTCCCAGTAGAGGTTGGGCAGGAACAACACAACTGTATGGAAATCTCTGGAGAGTCCTGGTCACAGGTTTAGGTGCAGAGTATCAAAGCTGAAAGGGTGGAGAGCCTCTTTTATTTGGAGCTTAGGCACATGGGCCTTTCTCACTCCAGAACTAAGGCTGAGGAAGGACAGTATTGCTCTCTGGGAGCAGCAGGAACAGGAGACATGGAGTGTACAAAGAACTTTGTTATGGGACTCAGGGCAGTGTTACTAGAACAATAACTGGGTATTCATTCACCATGAACAAACTTGAAGTGGAAATTGGAAGATAGTTCCTAACCAGAGTAACAGTTTTTGGAACAGCATCCCCTGTGAGTGAACATAAAAATTCTTCCTGCACCCATGGCTCAGGTGGTAGTTGTGGAAGGGCTCAGGTGGCTCAGTGTCTACATGAGGAGCATTTTGACTCCAGCTGTCTCTTCCACTGTGAAGTCTTTCTGCAGATTGACCCAATAGCACAGACTGACTTTCAATGAGCACCTGCTCGAGGCAGAATTACAGGTGATAGTTCTGCATAGATTTTGCTAAGTAGGTTGTTATTAAGGGGTCAAAGTGTTGCACAGGTGCTTTAATAAAATACTGTGGATATTTTATGTGTCCTTGGCTGCTTATATACTGTCCACAAATTGCAAAACACACTTTGGCTAATACTTCTCAACTTTTTTAACTCTTACTAGAACAGCAAATACTTTCTTAAGCTTTTTTTTAACATCAGAAAGACTGGTATTGTTTTTCTTAAAGGCTGAATTAATACAAGTTAAAAAGCAGAGAGTTGAGTTCTCTGCTCAGGAGAGTTCATTTTAAATGCCCATCTTCCTCACAGGCTCATAAAGCTCACTGGCAGTATTTTTCTGGAGGTCAAAGCCAAGTAAATCCAAATGCTATCCAAGATTTTATCACGTTTTGATAACAAATCTGCTTCAGTTACTAGTTATGATGCTGTCTCCAGGATGACCTCCTGAAGTTGGAAATCCCTTCAAACCTTATCCATTCTAGGATGCTACACTCCTAATGCACACATACTGATTTTTCCTTCTTTCTGTAGGGATTTTTTGCTTTTGTTACTCAAAGGTTTTAAACATTATTTAGAATAAATTACATTTTGATGGTTGTGAGTTCCTGTCTCCAGTAAGCTTACCGTAGGTCCTGACACTGCTTCCAATGAGGGTTTTCACTTTGTTCTTTAATGAGGTGCAAACATGATTTTTAACACCGTTGAATGTCAATGGAGACATAAGCTAACATTTGAGTTATATTTTATTTACAAGCTGGTTATCTTTGCAGGCAGCAGCTACAAACTCAGGCCAAGCTGGTCTTGGAAGAAAATGGATTGTTGATGGAGCAGCTCAAAATCCAACAAGCTAAAGCAAAAGACAGTCACAGGCAGCATGTGCAAGAAGGTAAAGTGCTTGAGTTGCCAGTCATTTGAACTACACTAAAGATGGTACTACAGGTTTGGGGTTTTTTTTGTGGGGTTTTTTGTTTATTTTCTATTGTTGTCATTTTTGGGAGGTCTTGCTTTTGTTTGGTTGGGGTTTTTTTGCAACTTTATATGTGCCTAAAAGACATTGCTGAATGTTGGTGACATTAATATGAGATCAAGCTCTGGATGTCAACTGATCCTGAAAAGAATGTCAGTGTCACCTAGTGCCACTAAATAACATTTTGACTTCTTCTGAAAAAGTGGCAAGAACTGTTAATATCAAACCATTCATTTTTGTTATTTAAGAACACTTTAAACTGAATGAGAATTTTTCAGTGTAAAATGACGTTTCAATGATCCTACAGCTCAGAAAAGCAGCAGTCTTGAAGTTTCAGCATTTTACCAAAACAAGTTGCTTGAGACAACAAAAAATAAAATACAAACAGACAAATCCGCTGTTCCATAATGCTATGAACAACTAGGAATTAACATATTAATGGTTTAGTTGGAGTTTCACTAGGTGATTGAATTAGTTCTGTTATACCCAGCTGGGTTTTTTTTTCCCCTCCCTAAAGCTTCAAAGTTGACCAAGCAGATAGTAATCTTAGAAGGGAAGAAACAAAGCCAAGAAGAAGAGATAGCAGAGTACCAGAAGCAATTAGAAGCTTTATGTTCTACTTGTGAAGAGCTGAAAGCCAGAGTGAAGAGCAGAATAGCAGCAGAGGAGCACTTGGCTTTGGTGAATGATTTAAACAGGTATGAATTTATGTGTGGTGCATGGAGAAACAGTTCTGCAAAGCGTGGACATGAACAGAGCTGCACTCTGGAGGTAGGAGGCCAGTGCAAACTTCTGCTGGTAATCCAGGAAGGCAATTACCAAAGTACAAAGAAAGGGAAAGAAGTATTTAAAAAATACTCTCTTGGTTTTTAGGGACATTTAAATTTACCAAAGGATATCCCAGATCTAGAAACATGGGTAGGAGTGTTCCTACCATAGAGTACATACTGCTAATTGTACTGTCTTAAATAGTAGAAGAGGAGGCATTAAAAATATCTTTTTTGTCAAATCTATTTATTTCTATCAATGCTATAAATTAAATGTTTTCAATCTTTCGTTCTCATCTTTGGGAACATGTCTAAAGGATCCTGAAACTCTAAACCAGGAGTTCTGAGTTTCTGCAGTCTTTACAATATAGAAATAACAGGAAACAGCACAACTCCAAAGTGCTGCCATGCACTGCCTGCAGAGTACTGTTTCCCTGAAGGCATTCTGTAAATTTATTTGCTTCCAAGCCTTTGGATAGTGCAAGTTGCTGTTTTGTGTCCTGGGAAGTTCTCAGACTTTGTATTTTGGCATTGCTAGTAACATCTTTGGAAAAAAAAAAAAGGAATACATTTGGCTGCATATTTTTATAATTTAAATGAAGTGCAGTCAGAATGAATTATTTAAATAATTCATGATTTGAGAATGTCATACCTGTCTGATGTCACCACTGAACATTAGGCATTCTCAGTGTATCTTTCATACCTTTAACAGGGTGATCTTCCTGTAATTTAGCTTTTTAGTGAGGAAGGTCTGTCCATGACACCTGTCCTGTGCTGTTGGGTTTTGCAGACGGTTGCAGGAGGAGCAGGAGAAGAAGCGCTGTGAGGTGGAAGATGTGATGGGAAGGGTCACATCACTGAGAGCTGAGAACCAGAAACTGCTCCAGGAGAAAAACAGCTGCCTGGCTGACAACAAGGCCCTGCAAAGTGAAATGGAAGTGACACAGAAGACAAACAGGTCACACCAGAGTCTCATTTTCTTGTACAGAAATACTTGTATTTCTAACAATAACAGCAGAAATATCTGTAAAATTGTCTGGCTTCCCATAGTGAGTGTTTTCTACCTACTGCAGAAAAAACATGTTTCCTAAACATATCTTTGTCACGTCCAAAGCCTTGGCTGTCAAGTTTTGCTGACCTTTGTATGTTTTCATGCTCACTTTTCTGTGACTACATGCACATTGAGAATATTTCTTTACTGTAGTAGTTAGTAGTGTGAGTAACAGTTAGCTATAGCAATGAATCATTCGTGTACTGGAAATAAGGCCTTACACTATTTGCAAACCTTCTCATGCACCCAGTTGGTTCAGAGATGGGGTCACAATACTTTAAAAAATAAAAACAATATTATTGTTGTATTTCTTAAGGATTATGAGCTTGTAGCCATTGCACAAACTGTTCTTTTGAATCATTGTCACTCTTATTCAGACAACATATTGTAAAGAAAAACAGCCCCAAAAGTGGGACATGGTACTTTTGGCACTGCAAATATTGTGAGCCAGTGCATTTTTAGCAGCATGTTTGATTGTTTGAGACTTGTGCATGTTGATTTGCACATGTGATGCAAGTTTTTAATGCCATTATTAATTCCCAATCTGTTCATTTTATAGGCGACTAAAGAAGAAAATACGTGTTTTACAACTGCAGCTGGAGGAAGTGATGGAAAAAGAAGTTGTAGCCCATTATTACCTGACAAACCTTACTGGTCTGGTGGAGAAGATGGCTCAGGAACGTGATCACCTTGTATCTTTGGTAATTACCTTGAAATAATTAATATTAATTGATATTTCCCACCATTATCATCCTACTGGCACAACTTGCTGTTAATCTGAATTATCAAAAAAGAAAACTATAATTTCAGTTTAAGGATTTAGCTATTTGAGTGGACTTTAGCAAATAGGATGGGAACAGCAAAAGATTTTTTTCTAGAAGAGTGACTAAAAGCAACTACCCTTATTTCTGGAGTTAACATAATTCAGCCTTAATTCACATGAGCGTTAGGGATTGCAGTGTTATATATCAAGCTTGTAAGACTTTTTAAAACTTAATTTTAGAGATTGGTGTTGAGCTACATGTATGTAAAAGTAGCTTGCAATCTTAAAATTTTAATACAGGTCTCTTAATCTAAAGGTAAGGTATTATCTTTGAAATGGGTCTATGGACCTTCTCCTGTGGATACACTTGGTGGTATTGCATTTTATTGGTTAGCAGTCATTTGAACAGGCTAATTGAGAGTTTTGGAACAACTTCTCTTTAGTGGAAGTGTCTGGCATGGTTACTGGGCTTTTCATAAGCACATTTTCTTTCCTTTACAAGATCTTGGAAACAATTTCAATTTGACATATTGGTCCTCTGTCTTCAAATTGGTCCTGAAACTGTTTCACAAAACTTTGTCAAAGCTTTTTTGTCTTCTGTTGTTCAAGTTGTACACAAAGGTTGTCATCAGTATTGGGTACAAAAGAGCAGTTCATTCCTAATTCTACAAGAGGGACTATGGTGACCCAACTCAAATCCTTGTCCAGTACAAATTAGGCTTCAGGATTTTACAACTGGGCACAAATGTCTCTTAGGAATTAGGGGTATTGATTCTTAGATCTTGATTTGTGACTTACATTGCCCAAGTCTTGCCTTTTTTTAATGAATCCACTGTGTCTGGGCCAACAGCAGAGAGATATTCAGACTAAATTTTCTACTGAAATAGAAAAAAACTTCAAAATACCCAGTTTACTTTGGTGCCTCATAAAGCTGTATCAAAACAACCCGTTCCTACTTTTAATTGCTGAATCTTAGCAGAAAGTCAGACTGCAGGTTTCTTTTAGCAGGTACTCTGATAAGGTTTTCTAGTGGGAAGACCTAGAAAACAAGCAAACAAACAAAAAGTTAGAGGTAGACCCTAATGATTCTGCAGAATCACTACTGCTTATGACAAAGTTTAAAATGTAGTATCATTCCCCACCTCAAAATTCAGTAATGTCTAGTTTATTTACTCAGTTCAGCTACAGCTGTTAATCCTTGCCTTACTCTTTTTTAATTCATTCATTGAATTAAATCATTGAAATGCATTTCATGCAGATTTCATCCAGAAGAAGAGGGTCAGCAGAATGGTACAGCACTAAAAAATTAGCCTATATTCTTACTTATTGAGGGTTAAAAGAAAATCTGTAGTAATCACATCTCCACAAAAATAAAGGGATAGTCTTAAACTTACTATTTCCAGGAACAGTGATGGCCTAAAACAGCAGCAACAAATTTGTTTAAATCAATTCTGATAGTGGAACAGTGATGATGAACTGTAATCCTGAGTTAGCAGCTGTCAAAACTGTCCTTGTATTGTATTGTATGATTCAGCTGCCTCTCAGTAAATCAAACTATCACTTACTGAGCACGAAGTTCACAGACCCCAGCAGGGCCAGGTAATTTTGACTTCTGGGAAAGGAGATGTGTCTCTGCAGTGATATGGGTAGTTCAAGGTGGTCAGACATTTTTGATTCTAAAAGCTACTTCTCTTTTGAATGCTTTCAGTGGATTTAACAATTGAAGCCTCTTACAGCTTTAAAGTTATTTCACTGTTCATAGCTTATGCATTTTTGTTTGGTTTACTTTTTACATCTGGGAATGTAGTGCCTATGAAACAGTGAAAAATGGGATCCCTACAAACATATACCTGTAGAAAAATACACAGAATAGGTTGAGTTTACAGTATTAGTATCCTTTCAGAATAATACTGTTTCACAGTATTCACAGTCAGTTGAAAAATTATTAAATATCAGCCATTAAAGAATAATTTTCAGGACTTGTTTTCCGTGTTGGTTTTTCAGACTATGGGAGCTCAAAATGGAATTGCTGTGTCTTGCTCAGTGTCAGTGTTTTGTCTGCTCTAACATAATGATTACATTTAGTTATGTATATACTGTGTGGTTGCAGGCCAGATGTTTGGAAAATGAGAAGCAGGGTGTTCTCAATAAAATGATAGAAGGCAGTCTACGCTTAGGGAGACTGGAAGAGAAAGTTAAGGTAAGCAGTGTTTCTAAGCTAAATATTTATTGTGTTTTGGGTTTTCTGGTGAGAAAAGTCAACAGTTAATTTGTGTCAGTGTTTTTATGAAAGACTTATAGATTATCTTAAAATGTTTCTAAAAAGCAAAATAGATCCTCAATATAGGTTTCACCATTGTGTTCATACATTGCATGTCTGCCAGATCACAGCATTTACACCTGGAGAACCTAGGACTAGTTGTAAAAATACTTAAAGATTATTTGTATTTCGGTTTTGCTTTGTACTGTGACCCAAGTCCTACTTTTTTGAGGCTGTACTAATGCTTCAGCTTGAAGTCCATTCCAATTCCAATCAGAAGAATGAAAAAACGTATCTCAAGTGTACAGTTACCATCAGGTGCTTTCATGTGGCCAAAGGGTGGGAGGTTTAGGAACTCAGAGGATGTTCAAACATGCAGCCCAGTTAGAGAATATATTCTAGGTTATCTTTACAACTCTCTAAACAAATGCAAAGCACAGTGTGGAATTGCAGTATAACAGCATTATATAAATTTGAAACACTTATGTTTCAAAAGTTTCACTTCATAAAATATCTAAATACATGAAACACTGCCCTAAAAGAATTGTCTAATTATACTAATACAGCCATAAAATGTTTTTAACACTTTTCACCCTCATTCATGTCTATCTTCCCTACCAAGACAGTGGCTTATATTCTTGTTAAATACACATTTTATGCAATTTAATAGATCTGTATCTAAGGGATAGAGAAGAGGTTTGCATAAGATTAAGAACATTTACTTGTAGCGAATTTTAAGTGCAAAACCAAATTTTAAAAAATCCTTAACCCATCAACTATTAATGGAAATCAGAAAAAAAGTCTGTAAATAAAGTTCTTAAACACAGCTGTTTCAATTTAATAGAAGTAAGACTAATGTACTTGCAAAACCTTTTCATTCTTTATTTTTGTCAGTAAAGCAGAGGGCTTAAACAGTCACACAACACCTACAAATGTCATATTCTCTTCGGTTATTGTATTAAATGAACTTTGCTAAAAGCTGGTATAATTTATTTCTTTGCTGCTTCGGGAAATCACATGTTTGGTAACTGCCCTGTATCTTGAGTTTCAGGATAAACCTTTTCTATTTAGGTGTAATCTGTCTCCAGTGATAACAGTACTTAAAACACAGTCGTTTTCCCGCCAGGGTGACACAGCCATTGATAATGTGAGTGTTAGCTATTTCTTATCTCACAAAAGGTTACTGGGCCTTGGCTTTTAGCCACCTGCAGCTATTTCCTCAAGATACAAGATAAGAAATACAAATTATATGAACCGGAGCATGGAGTCCTCAGGGTATGGGGAGAGAAAAGTTTCCTGCCTACAGCTCTGAGTTACTTCCAAGTGCCTACAGTGTGAATCTATTTTTGGACACAACTACACTTTTTTTCTACTTCTTAGACACAGCCAGGTTTACTTATGTTTCCCTTTTGCTGAGTTTGTTGCCTCGTGTCGCATCAGGAAGCAGCTCATCCCAAACTTACAGGTCAGATGCACCATGTGCATCTCAAAAGATTTTCTGGGGCTTCTTTTACATCACTACAGTTGTTATTTGAGGGGAGGAAAGAAGGAAGGTTATGTGGGACAACCCTTCTCCACTGGAAACACATCAGACACCCTACGGATAGAGGTTGTTCCAAAAGCTGGCAGTTCCATTCCCTTTGGATCACTTCCCTCTGAACTCAGGTCATCTGTGCCTTGCACATAAAACAGATCTGGTCTTCTGGTCCAGAAGACTTTTTCATTAATTCTTTTGAAGAAAGAAAATTAATAAAATCCTGTAGTTTTTCTTTTTCATTGAGAAGTCTCAAATTAAGTCAAGGTCTGGCAGATCTGTTATTAAAGACAAAATCACTGTGAAAATCTTTAAAGCTAAATAGCAGGTTATTGCTAAAATAAGCCCCGAACCCATGTCAATAATACACACAGCTTTATTACATATTTTAAACTGATTTTTTTACACAGCCCTGAAGATAATTGTTAGTGATCTTAATGAAAGTATTTTTAGGTGCCATGGGAGACAGTTGGCAATGTTCTGTAGCACACAATAAAAATGCCATCAGTGTTCCCATTACAGGGCTATTCTGTGAGAATTATAGCACTTCTTATAAGAGCAGTGAGAAGATTTCATTCAGATGGTCCTTTGCTCTCTTTTGGAATGGACAATACCAATTTTACTGTTAAAGGATTGGAGAAAAACAACACATGATTGATAGAAAATAGCTTTATTGCCTCAACAAATGATCAGATCATTACATGTACCATAGCCAGCAGCCTCTGTTTGTACAAATAATGTTTTGTGGGCTCTGCAGTCAGAATTCTCTGCCAGTTTGTAGTTCAGTACTCGAGGTGAAACAGAGCTGTGGTGCCCAGGAGTACACCTTCCCCAAATGACTTAGAAGAGTGTAAATTATGTCCTCTTCAGTACCAGAGCTGCATCCATGATCATTCCTCATCTTGCTTACTCTATACTTGATGCCATGACCTTGGGCCTTTCTAGCTCTAGAGGAAAATATTACGACTTCTAGCTACATGTGTTATCAGCCTCTTCCTGGTGGTGATATCTCCACCAGTCTGTTTACTGCTACCTGCTTCACTTCCAGGAACATTAATAGCTTATCTTGGACAATTCAAAGGATCTGTGTGTGCCAGCAGCCACGTCTGTCAGTGTGCCCAGAACCACCCTGACCTGCACAGGCTGCATTTTCCGTAGATGTTGTTATAATCCATCCAGAGGAGCAGGATCAGAGCTGGGTATCCCTCATATCTGGTTTCAGGCAATAAGAAAATGGTGCATTTTTGCCCTTTGTGCCCCACAGATTTTGCAACCATTCTACACACGGCTTCAGTTGGCAAAGGAGGAGCAGAGCCAAAAGAGGCAGCTAGGGGAGATGAGGAATCATAGAATAGAATCAGCTGGGTTGGAAGGGACCTCTGAGATCATCAAGTCCAATCCTTGATCCAACTCCGCTGCGGTTGCTAGACCATGGCACTGATGCCACATCCAGTCTCATCTTAAACACCTCCAGGGATGGAGAATCCACCCCCTCCCTGGGCAGCCCATTCCAATGGCTGAGCACCCTCTCTGGAAAGAAATTCTTTCTAATGTCCAACCTAAACCTCCCCTGGCACAGCTGAAGACCGAGTCCTCTTGTCTTGCTGATCATTGCCTGGGAAAAGAGACCAACCCCCCCCTGGCTACAACCTCCTGTCAGGGAGCTGTAGAGAGAGATGAGGTCTCCCCTGAGCCTCCTCTTCTCCAGGAGCCAGAGGCTTGAACCATCTCAGGCAGAGTGCAGCTGAAAACACAACACTCACCTTAAACCAGAGCTCTCTGCAGCTGGGAGGTCAATGACCGCGAGATGAAAAACGGGTTTCACCAACATTACTGGCTGCTTTATCAGCCTTTGCTGTGATAAGAAGGTCTCTCTAGTTCTCTGAAATTATTAATTATGGGCACCTACCCTGGAGAGAGCATTTCAGGGCCCTCTTGGACCTGAGTAAAGCTGGAGAATTTCTTGGCAGAGGGGAAAGTTCTGCTGTTTCCCTGTGCTCTGCACTTCCTCTGCTGGCTCTGAGCAACCTGCTGCTCAGAAGGAACTTGTTTTCCTTTAGCCTCCCACGGCATTACAGTGCAAGCACCTGACTCTGCATTTTGGACTCTTCTCTGGGAATCTAAAAAGTTGAATGATGTGACTGGTTGACTTGCAGGCTTCTAATTCTTTTCTTGGATCTGACAGGGAAAAGCTAGGGAAAACCCCCTGTGTAAGTCATTCTTAAATATTGAATTACTAATGTTCTAGGTAAATATTATTATTTATTATTGTCCTATAAGCTCTAGAAAAATAAACTCCACGAAGGCACATTTTACAAGAGCTAAAAAAGGAAACAGTTTGTGGAGGGGATTATACAGCCTTATATACAGCATATACCTAAAAAGGCCAATTTTTTTTTAATTCTTCTAAAAGACAGACTCAGTCTTTCTGCTCTGATTCAGATGAAGATAAAACCTTAGTGATTAGCACCTTAGGTAAAACTTTGTAGTAGCAAGACAAAAATAGCAGTATATTCAAAGCTTCACTATTAAATAGTTTACAGTTTTACTAAAGGAGGTGCTTCCATCCCAAAACTCTGTCCTATAGCCTGTAGGAAATGTCACATTCTGCTTGTAATCATGAGAAAAATAGCTAATATTGGATTTGCTTTTTGTCAAGAGCAGCAGCAGCTAGACATTGGTAACAGTACACAAGCCACAGTTTTTCAGTTCCTCATGCAATTTAATGGGGATGTAATTTCAGAAAGCAAAATAATTCTGTATAAAAATTATTTCTTATTTTTGAGATGGGACCAATAAATTTGGTTATTATAGCCATTAAGCAAAAAATCACTTGTGCCTCACTGAACAGAAGGACTATTATGAGAAGCAGCAAGCTAGTTTAAAACACAAAGCTATTCTTTTCCTTCCTCTTAGTATTCATATTGAACAACTAACAAAACATAAGCACTTTTTCTTGGTATGTACTGCTAAATATGACTGTTGGACAAGTGCTAAGCAACAGGTGCTGTAATGTGTAGCTTTGCATCTTGGAAAATAAACCCTTTTTTGCACCTAATTCTGTTCACTCCTAAGACAAACATACAGCATGGTATTCACTGTACACACCAGTTTTATATACAGAACAAAATGAAGTTTAGTACCTTTGAATTAACAAACAGGTTAAAAAAAATCCATAATGCAACCCACCTGACAGATTTAAGCAGGGCAGGACTGATGGAAAATCAGTGTCTCCAGCTCTTTCTTTTGCTGGTAGTGACTTGTCCTTATTTCTCCCACAATCCCATTTCCCCTATTATCTTTACCCCTTACAGGTGTATAAAAAGAAAGCGGCTGGGAAGCTTGGAGATATCAATCTGAAGATGACTGAGCAGGAGAAGGAATTTGCTGGGAAGACTGCTTGGTATGAGCAGGAAATGAAGCACCTCCAGCGTCTGCTGCAAGACAAGCAGGAAACCCTGGATGAAGTGCTGGAGCAGAAGAGGTGAGTGAGGCATAGGGGGGAACTGCTGTTCTTAAGACTTCTTCTTCTTAAGAGTATCAACCTGAGCCCAATCTTTGATGATTTGAGGGGGTTCTATAAATCAAGATATGTGTTAGTTTATAAATAAACTAAAGTCTTCTGCTAAAGGCTGAACACTTGCCCGTCCACACTCCTCACCAGTTTTCAGAATAGTAGGAAATGAAAGGAATCTCATGATTACACATAAGATTTTTGTTTCCTTTTGCATCTGTCTTGCTGAGTAATCCTCAGAGTCATCATTCTCACGTACCTTCCCTTAAATAAGCTACGCTGCATGTTTGAGATATAAAAGCTGATGATGCGGTCTTGAGTAAAAAAACAGGGTCATAAATACTTCCAGTCTTATTTCACAGGACACTTACTATTATGAGTTTACTAGGTCAGAGTTTATTGCCTAAGTGTTCTGCAGAGAAACAGTCCTTGGAGATAGTTACAGCTGCTGTGCTTTGGCTGGAAAAGGCGGGTGTGAAAGTGCCGTAGACTGTCCTCGGGAGAGGGTCAACAGCAAAAAACCTCTGCAGCTGTGCACAGGCAAGGGAGAGGAGCTGTCTTACCTGGGGGGTGACATATAACATTGTAACCATGATAAAAATTGTTGATCTTTGTTAGAAGGAATATTTAAATAAACTCTCACAGGAGAGATGAAAATTAGTTCTTGAGTCGGCAGCCCAAATATAAGATTAAGGCTGAATTAATTTAGTTCAGTAAGGGCAGAAAGCTCTGTCTTTTGTAAAGAAGAATCTGCCTTCAGAACCTGCTTCTGTTAACTTTTTCATCCTCAAACATCAATCAGTACAGCATTGGCATTTTGTTTACTCTCAACAAGGTATAGAGCCTTATTTTTTGGCTAGGTTGGAGTTGAATGGAATTTTTATTTTTACGTATTTAAGTAATAACAGCCTACATTAATAACAACAAACTTAATGCTTTTTGCCTGAAGACATCTGGAAACAGCACATGTACCTAAACTGAGCATGTATCTAGTTTTAAATGCCAAGTGGCAAAGACTTGTGTTTGAAGCGGTGAACCGGCTGTATGGGCAGGGAAATATTAGTGTCAAGAAAAAAGCCCAGACCATCAGCAGCTGTAGTAACCAAACTGCTCTGTAATCCAAGTTTGTAAGGGAAGGGAGGCTGTGACTAATAAGAATGAAGACACCCCCTCCCTAGCCCATTCTGCTGGATGCATTTTTAGGTTTTGGTGGGGTCCGAATTTTTGAACGAAAACCATGCAGAGACAAAACCTGCACTTGGGATGCAGCTGTTTCTCCTCAGCTCACCTGAAAACCAGCTGAACTATGAAGCAGGATATTGAGCCACACTGAGAAGCCTCACCTGTGACTGTGGAGTGCTGTGTGTGCTTCCTGGACAACAATATGCTGTGACTGCTCACTCCAGAGCAAAGTCAGCAAGTGCTCTCTGGCTCTGCATCTCTCAGATCTGTTTAAAAACTAATCCTCCAAGAAGAGTTCAGATACACCACTATCTCTAAAGGCATCTGTTTTCCTTGCTACTCAAGTAATTTGAACCATGTGGACACTTTTAAAACCAGTTTTTTTGAACTAATGTTTTTTCTAAAATCACTTGAACTGAAGATGAGCACCCTGTTGGTCAGGCATGCTGACAGCATTAAACTACAATTCAGAACTTGCTGATCTTTAGTTTCATCATCTTCAAAAAAGTCTTGGTTTTAGAGATTAGAGGATGAACTAAAGCTTGGGTAGTGTTCTGCACTACAGTAACAGTAAACCAGATTAAGCTCTTGTGTATTAATTGTTGACCATGAGGGTGCTGTGCACAGTGCCTGCAGACTCCAGTTGGAGACCAGGGGCAACAGGGAACAGGAGCTTGACCTATCAAGATATAAAAGTTCATTTGAAAACATTCCAAAATCACAATACAGAGAGCCAGGGTCAACCAATGGGTGACACTGAGGCCTGCTAGTTGGGGGAGTAAATTCAGTCTTTGTGCCTCACATCTTCCCCAGATGTAGGCTGAGGGGAATGATAATTGCCTTTGTAAAGCATTTTGAAGCATATTCCAAGCACTCTCATCCTGTCTCAAGGAGAAATATACTTGTGAGAGCAAAGTCATCTACAGTTTTGGTGTTTTAAAAATGAGAGATTGCTTCTCAATAGCTTTTTAGCAACTTGGCAGAAATGGAAAGGTCCAACTAATTAACTGTGGCCTCTCACATTCTTGGGCAGAGTCTTAGACTACTTTTAGCACCTGTACTGCTTTCACCTGCTGCCTTTTGCTTTAATTCCATTTTCAATGGTTACTGATCTCCTCCACCACCAAAAGTTCACTCCAAGCAATATATGCAAGAATAATCTAAAGCCCTTCTCTACGAGGTTTTTTTTTCTTCTTCCATCTGTATATCAAGTCATAAGGTGAAACACAAAGTGGGCAGGGACTATGGCTGGGCCACTTTTCACCACTTCATTCTCAGGGTGATCAGTCACAAAGGGCTCTCAACACATTTATGTTGTGCATTGATTTGTTTCTCATGTTTAGAGCCTGGTATTGGGGAGAATTTGTGTAGAAGGGTAGCTCTGTCCAGTGCTTCAGGTAGTGCCCTGAAGGGGCTGTATTAGTCTGTATAGCATTCAAATTTGTGTGCTCATTTTCCATGCAACAGCTTTGCTTTCCACCTCAATTATCTTGATATCCTTATTTTTTTTGTACTTTGATACATACTAGAAATAAGTCAGAGGAAACCCAAGAGCTTAACCTTGATCTAACATAACTTACTAAAATAAAAAGCCTGTGCTGGAATACACTGTATTATTAAATCATGTTGACTTCCATGCTTAAAAAATAACCTATTCTTGAGAAAGATGCTAAACAATTCATTCATTTATGCTTGGGCATCAGAGAAATGAATCTGTGAGGTTGTAATGCTTTAAGGACTGTCCTCTAGCTTTGTCTCCCCTCCTAGTTTACCCCACCTTTGTTTGGCTGCCACGAAGAGGCATTAGCTGAGACTTGATCCAAGTTGTTACATGGGTCCAAGTGTTTATTTTTTGGTCATATCCTCTCTAGCATTACATTTAGTGGGCTTTTTCAAAAGCAAAATAGGCATGAATTTTAATCAGGTAATTTCAAGCACTTAAATACAGGCCATTTCTAATTTGCTTATCCACATACTGTAATTCTCTTCTGCTGAAACGTTGTTAAAATTAGGATTTCTCTTTGTTTTTTTCCCCTAGGAAGACAGAAGGGGAACTTGAAATCATTTGGGAAGCCACAACCAAAGAAAACAGGAGAATGAGAGAACTCCTACATAAATCCCTGAGGAAGAACACCACGTGGAATGCTGGCACAGCTCATGAGCCACACTTTGATGAAAGCTCTCAGAAGGACCTAGTTTACAGAGATGATTTTAGCTATTGTGATGTGAAGACTTCATCCCCTACTAAGAATGAATTTCAAGAGGAGTCTCAGTGATAAGGATCTGCATCTCATCCAAAAAAGAGAACTCAGTGCCTGAATTTGACTTTCTCAGCGACACAAGATATGATGGAACATTTCCCCCCTTCAAAATGACTGGATTTTTAAGGTCATACCAACGACAACAGCATATTCTCCAGCTGTGCCATCAACAGGGTAAATCTAGCCTGAAATATTACTTTAATACATGAAGAAAAGGCTATTCCTTGTTAAGACAAAATGTGATGCAGCTTTAAGTTAACATGAAAAGACAAGTAACCAGTTAACAGGATAAAATTTGACTGTGGAGCAGCCAGGACTGAAGCATCCTCCTGATAACTGGTGGTGCCTGAATGCACAACTGTCCACTCCACAGGTTTACAGGAGCCCAGGTGTTGGGAAGCTCCTGCTGGACTTTTGCCAAGGGGATGAGTTGCCAGCACAGGGTGCAGTTCTCCAGATTGTCTTGTTCATTCTACTTCAAAAGCCACCTTTTTTCCAGAGCATTCTCTGCAGCAGTGACAGCCTTTAGATTATTGATGCCTATTTGTCTGAGCTTTCATAAATGCTGATTTTTCACAATTTTGCACATCAGCTTTGTAGTACTATCTATTAGTATGAAATAACTTTATTTTGGATTTACTTATAACTTGCTGGATCAGCTTTTTGCTTTTGCTTCATTTTCATGACAAAACCTAAATGGTACCAGGAAACTGTAGCAGTACAAAAAACCTATAACTCTCATAGTTGTGTAATATTAAAAATAATGAAGAATTTCATTGGCTTTGACCAAAGTTAAGGAAAAGAGCAGAAAACCAAGTTAAATGCCAAAAGGAATACATACTGTTTGTGTCCAGAAAGGTTCCTGTGGTATTTTCCTTCAGGATAAGGCCATGACTCAGCAGAATAGCATTATTCAGGTCAGGGTGGAGAGAGCACCTTCTCTCATATCTATCTCTCATATCTATCTCTCATATCTATCTCTCATATCTATCTCTCATATCTATCTCTCAATCTCTCATATCTATCTCTCATATCTATCTCTCATATCTATCCCACCTTGATGGGATGGGTGGATGTAGGGCTTTTAAAGCCCTGTTTCTTTGACAGGAATAAAACAAGTGCAACAACCTTACTGGCTCATCAAGAGAGAACTTCAGCACCCAAGGTCACTCAGGCACTATCAGAACCACAATCTCACAGCACCACTATCTCAAGGTCTCCATGCAGAGACTTAACAAGAACTCCATCTTCAAATCCTTTCATTCCCCTGGCTTTTTCAACTTGACTGTTTTAGGACTCTGTGCCTCCAAAGAGCACCCAGAAACTATTTTTAAACATGGCCTTAAATCCCTTTGTTAATATGTGAAGTTGTCAGGGGAATGGTCTGTTGCTAAACTAGTTCTGTCTCCTGTCTTCCTTGAATTTTTTAAAAAGTGATTTGAAATGTCAGGTGTGAAATACCTCTTCAGACAAGTCAGACACAGGCAACACAAACAGGGCCAATACACTCCCCTGCTTTCCACACAAGCTCCAATCTGCAGGTGTCCTTACAGGGACCCTGAAAGAGCATCCAGCATGGCTGTACCCACAGTTTGTCATGTTTTTGAAGGCAGATTTTGAAAATGAAGCCTCTCATACCATGTTTTTTAATATAAGCATCTCTGAGTATGAAAATACAAATTCCGAACTGCACATATAGATTATTTACATATTCTCATGGTTTTAATTGCCCTTTTGAATATGTCTCAAGAGCTTGTAAAAATAAGCAGCTTCATGAGGAAAAACTATCATACTGGTAATTCCTCAGAACTAGAAGCAAGACTTTCAAAACCCATTCAAGTGTGAACATGTTGGAATTTTGCTTGGTTGCTAAACAGGTATTGAAGAGAACTCTACCTTAAACCCCCAGAACATAAGGAGATTTTTAAATCATAGCTTTGCCTTGTTTCATAGATACTACACTAAATTTAGATGCTACACTAAAGAAATTATGTGACTGTTTTATTCTACTACAAAAACTCTACCCATGCCAGATTATCATTTTCTGTTACCCAACATCAGCAACTTGCTGTTTTCCCTTGACTACCCATGACAGAGCATCCTGATTCCCATATGTTCCACCTGCCTTCCAATTACAGCATCTTCCAGTCTTTATACTGAGCCCATGAAATAGTTCCTGCTTCTTTTCACAAGGCAACATAAAAACATGCAGCGTTCTTCCATTCCTACCAAGAAACTGAGAAAACAGTTCAGGATTTCTGGATGTCACGTTGAGGTTTCGTTGCTGAATGGACAGAGCATGTTCTGTCCATGATAACTGACCATAATTTTCCCTAGAAAAACATTTGGATTAAATGATTAAATAATGTGATTATATATTCAAAAAATAAGCATTGCTACCACCTTTCCAAAAGCAAAACCACAGGAGAGTCTGCAGTAAAGCTCAGTACTTCAGTGCATTTGCCAACTACTGCTAAAATATATCAGCATTACTTCTTACTCCACTGGCAGAGCAGAGCATCGCATTTTCTGTGCTTCAGTTGCTGTGTAAATATGAGGGAGAGTCAGATACTCAGCAGTCAAATTAAGGTGTGTTCTAATGTCCTGTGAACTGGCAGGGAATTGGGGCATCCTTATCATTTCCAGTTTCCAGGTAACTTCCCCCTGTCCATTAACAAGTCATTTAAACCCAGCTGTTTTCTTTCTCCCTACCTCTTTAATTTCAAGCCAGAAAGGTGCTGTTCTCTTCCAGGCCAGAAAATTGCCTTTCAGCAGCTCAGAAGAGAGAACCTCCTAAGACTTCTTCACCCTGAGAAATTCATCCTGGCACATTATATTACATCAGGAGTTCTAAGGGCTTTTCTCCTGGGACTACAAATCCTTGGTTGGCCAGGCCTAACTCTTCCATTTTAGGAGAGCTCCAAGCACTCATCCTACTCCACAAATTTAATGTAAATTGGTGTGGTAAAAATTCCACAGTGTTAACCTGCTTTGAATTTAGAAAAGCAGATGCACTTTGAAGGCTTCTTTACCTTTAAAAATATGGTTTCTCAGTGAGTGAGCTCTCCAGATTTTTTTTTTAGCCCTGAATATTTTTTTCCTGTACTAGATTTATTTCAACATACCTATACAAGCACATGTTCAGATATATAACAAAGAGAGAGAGAGATTTTAGCAATTAAAATTGTTTTATACCTCAAATGTCTGGATTTGGTAAAAATAAAATGAAGCTTCAAAAGTAGCACAGAACATCACAACCTCTTGAGTATTCACTGCTTCCTTCCTCAGCTGGAGGTGGGCAGATGCTCTTCCAAAGCCAGTGTTATCTGGAAATCCCTCCTTAGTGAAAGGCCAGTGGAATGCAACCTGAGTTTTGGACTCAAAAAGGAGATCATAGCCAGGCCTGGTTCTTCAAAGGGAAAAAGGTGAGGAGCTGGCTGTGCATGAGAGGAATCGCTGACTCTGATCAGGCTTTGAAACGCTGGGAAAAACTGAAATCTTTGGAGAAAACCAGCGTGACATACTCAAGCTAATTTTCTTCAGAGGCCATTTAAATTCCTTCAGAACATCCTTAAGACTCCTTGATTTTTTGTGACCTTTTGGATAGAAAACCATACCCAGCCTTTAGAAGTTTATCAAGAGTCTCTGAACAGCTGTGCTTAAAAAATACATGAGACAAACAAAAATCTGTCTTTAGACTAAAGACTGTGCAGGTCTAGTACAAAACCTTTAGCAAACCTGAAAAGCTTTTCAAAAGCTTATTTGTCACAGAGACAAAAGCAAATACACTGTAACCAAGAACTGACTAGGGAAAAAATAAGGCTATTTAGATCCCATCTACTCTGTGGGCATTAGGAACTACAGTCATCTAATATTTTCTGTTGACTCCCACAAGATGCAAAAATCTTGCAAGCCAGTGGCATCACCACAGCTGTTAAAAAAGACTGTTTTCTTAAATTCCACTTGCAGCATTCCTGCAATTACTCGGACAAAAAAATTGCTTTTAAGGATGACAGGAGTGAGATCACATCTTAGGGCACATCTGTGAACGGTGGGATTCAAAGAAGAGCAAATGCAAGGGAACAGCCTGGTGCTCTGGTGAAGTAACCTGTGAGCAGCGAGGTTAGAATGGAAAGTATCCCCTCTGAGATACTGCTAAGCTGCAATTAAAAGCTGCTCGTTAGGATGATCCTCATTTGCTTTAGTATTGGTCAAAGCAGAATGTGCTTTAAAGCAATAAATACCAACCCTGACAAATATTAACCTTTATTATTAGTGGCTAGTGATAATAAAAGGTTTATTTATACACTGTGCCGTTGCCATTTCCTGAATTAAAGTTGAAAATTACTTTTTACGATTTAATTGGTAAATAGCATTTGAAAAGGTTCAAACTGCACTGTTTAAATAGGAGCAGCCTGCACAGTGTTTGCCTCTCTGGTCCCTTGGAATTTGAACTCCTTATCACTTCATCTGTGTGAGATCCTTATCTCTCCATCCCTATTTGAGAGGGAAGGAGTCTTTTCCCACGGCTGTAAAATGCCATTTCTCTTGTCCTTGAAGAAAATAACATTGGAATCCTTGAAGTCAATGTTTATTTTTTCCTTCAGTGGCTGAGGAAAAGAAGGATTGCTGGTAGAATTGCAACTCCTTTAATAAGTTTACCAAGGCATTCCAAAAAGATTAACCCTTAAAATTAACCATAAATGAAAATGCTTTCCTATTTTATAAGGAAACACAGACTAGTTAAGGTCAAGTCACTGCAGAGACTTTGGTCACCTCCTGAACAGGTGGGAACTCTCCAGATCCACATTCCAGGTTAACTAAAGAAGCCAACTGCTTAGGCAAAAACTCAAACACCATATTTTCAATGTTACCCCTATTGTCTCTGAAGATACAAAGTGGAATAAAGATCTGATGCAGAAAGAAAAGGCAAGCAAAACATCTGCACAAAAAACCAAAAGATCGTTACACCAAATAAAAAAAAAAAATCCTAAGCAAAACTTTACTTAACACAGCATTAAAGATGACATATTCCATTATCTTTTCATCAAAATTACATATGTGTTTTTTCCTCTTTTTGTTGGTCTGGAAATTCCAGGGTAGAGTTAATGTGATGCTTCATTTTGAGGTCAAAGTCAGCCCCATAATATGACACCCCCCCTTCTTTTTTTCTTTTTTGACATTAACTGTTTCAATAGTCTCTGTGTGGCATTTCAGGAATGATAAAAAGATTATAAATCTTCATTTCAAAATTATCAACTGTAGAGAACACAGAAGCACATGACATAATATCCAACCCCAAACGAGGGAGCTGAAGTCGAAGGATATGAAAACATTATCTTATTTAACCCTATGTCAGAATTGCAATGAAAAATATTGTCAAAGTTCTTGTAAAAGATGCAAAAAAAGAAATAAATACTTGCCTTTTCATATGCTTGTACTAAGACTATAATTTTAACATATTTTATTACCTTTACCTGCAGGGGGAAAAAAAAGAACTTTTATCTGACCATTTTTCGTGTGGTAATTTTTCAACAAGAAGTTATTTAAGATGGAAGAGCTTCTCTTGTAGCTTAACCCTATTCTTGTGAGAATTAAACAAAAAAAACCCCAAAGACAAGAAAAACACAGTGACTAAAAAATACATCTCTGGGGTTTTTTTCAGTCCTGGCTTTACTTTGCAGCCTCAGCCTTGGAGAAAGACATTCCCAGTGCAGTCTGACTCAGCCACCCCAAAACACAGCAAATATAAACAAGTGTTTCACATGTTCTCAGAGTCCATTTTTAGTCACAGATTTACATCATCACTGCAGAGGGAATTCCTGGTGATCAAGCCTGTGTGCTTAAACAGGCTAAACAACAACAAAAAAGTGAGCAAAACAACCGTCAAACCGTGCTCGGGATAGTTTTGTTTGGTCTCGTTTCCAGCCCTGTACTATAACAAATGTTAACATCAGCGATCAATACCACAACATCCCTTAGCTTTTAACACTTGATGTTAATTGAAAAAAGTCAGCTGCGGTTCGAGGGGGTGGATCAGGACTTAGTGATTTGAATGTCATACAGCAAAGGAGCTGTCTGTACAACTACGTTGCTAAAAACAAATGATTAACACAATTAAGGGGTGGTTTTGCAAATATTTTAGGGATGATTAGCTCGAAGAAGTTACCTTATTCCAGAATGCAGGATAACAGCACTTTTTTTTCTGGATATACAACTGTATAGAAATAGAGAATGGCATTTTTCACTAAAGTAAGGCTTTAAAATATTTACAAAAACGGAAAATAATTGTAACTGCAAGCAAAGGGAACACAAGGTGCCCACTCAGCTGCCTCAGGTTAATGAAAAACATTTCTGCTCACACTTCTCTACTGTCTCAAGATAAAAACGTCATCTATTTTTATAGGATGCAACCAACATCTGGACAGATGGTTTTAATACACCCATAAAAGGACAATTACTTCAAGGTCGCCTTTCCAAAGGATTTCTAAATTAGCAACTGCTTGGTATAAGGATTATCAAAATAGACCCTCCAAATGTTCACTCTCACTCTGTGACACAGCAGGCACTGGATAAACATTCTCACAAACGGAACAAAAGATGGTTTTTCTTTTTTTCAAAGATAAACTGTGGGTTTACCTGGGGTTCCTATCTCAAAGCTTTTTGTCCGAGAATGGGTTTAATGATTGTCTTTTACAACCTTTGTACTTAATCTGCTGCTGCTTCTGCAGATTCTGGTTTCAGACTCGGACGTGCCTTGCTGTGTAACTGCCTGGGAAATCTGATGGGAGAAACATCCTAAGACAAAGATTCCTGGACCCGAGTAACACCAAACAAATATAAATAAATAAGGTAAGCAAACCCAAGAATTGCTAAAGGTGATCATTGAAACATGACTTTAAAGAGGGAATTTGGGCACAAAGCTGTAAAGTTCAGTGACCCAAGCCCTGCATTCCTCATGTGGGCAATTTTCTATCATAGGTTTAGTCTTAAAGTTAGATTTATTATTATTTTTTTTAAATCTTTGATTCAAAACATAAACTCGATGTCTTTATAGCCCAATTTTTTCTGAGGACCAACAATAATGAGATAGGTGTTCTGTCAATTTAAAATGCTACAGTTTTTGTAGCCAATAACTACTTTATTTCCAAAAACACTCCAGCTTAAGTTGCCTAATTTTTTTTGAATTACTGTCTGTATAACTGCTAAATGATCTTCAACATTCAGATTCTAGCAAATATAGTTTTAATGTCTTAGAAGAGACTTTTGACTGAATCCACTTTGGAGACTCAGGACCTGACCTGATGCATTTCCTTCACTATCTCAGGCTGTATTTTAGACAAACACAAGGACAAACAAGCAAAATCCTCAGCGGAAAAAAAAATCACAAATTTAAATTTGAAAACGTTCGTTCTAACAAACATTACATTCTAATTCTATACAGGACAAATTCTAATTCTATACAGGACAAAACACTGAGTGCAAAGAGCTGCTAATTAGACAATTACAGCAGCCCACACTTGGGTTAGCAGATCCTTGCACCTCCAAGGAACCGAGACAAGGCCTAATTTAATGAAGATCAGAAAGAAGGTCTCCTAGATAAGAAGCAGACCAGCTTTTGGGAGAAAGATAAAATCTGACTGGACCGCTGGAGGAATTCCAAGGAAGGACTGGCTATAAAAGCAAGATCATTCCAGTGAGGATCATTCCTGGAAACTGGATGTAACCTGACACAGACATTCCCTGCCAGGTGAGTATGAGGAAAATCCTCACTGGATTCCATCGTTGGATGGAAGGCCTTTTGCCTCTGAGAGTGTGCCTTTTTTTTTTTTTTTTAATTTTCTGGCAATATTTTACCTCCAGTATTTTGGACCCACATGTATCAGCAAAACTCAAGCAAACAATGTGCTAGAGTTGAGAATTTTGGTTTTATTTCCTTAGAGATTTCAACAAGAAAAACCAAATGGGTGAGGAAGGCTTGAGGAAAAGAAAAGGAGAGGACAAAGGAAGAGGGGACAAACAATCCATTCAGAGTCATGAACCCCAAAGGACGAACCTACAAAAACAGGCAAAACTTTTTCTTTTCCCTCTTTGGTCCGTGTGTGAGGGGCTGGCAGAGGGAGGCAGAAGTGGGTACTTGTGCACAAAAACCACAACTATGTCCCAGTTTAGCAACGATGTGCTAATATCTCAACTGGTTGGTTTACATTTCCAGAAACTGCTAATTACCGTAGTTAAAAAGCCGTGATATAAACCAATAGAAAACTAACAATATGTTTTTAAGTCTTTGAAGTTATCAGATAGAATAACAATTCGAAGCTGGTCAATTGAGGCACTTCATAAACTTTTCTTTTTTATTTTTTCCCCCATGTAGTTCTCAGGGGTTGCAGTGGGTTGTTCAGCTCATTGTTTCTGAACGTTTCTTGGTGTATACTAAGAAACATTCAGAAATAGGCACTGGTACTCAAAGACAAGTGAAAATCTGTCTCCTCCAAAAAATTAGAGATGCTTTAGACAACAGTTGTGTCACTTGCTCTCAGGAGGGGGTGGAATTCCTCTTTAAATTTAAGTAACGTGCAAAAAGAGTCTTTATGTGGTTTTAGTTTGATGCCAAGACTGGAAAAAATACTGATGTTATTAGAGTAGCCATAATATCAGGAAAAAATAAGTAGCCTGTGGCACTTGTTTTAGCAGAACATGCCTCAGGTTTCAGTGGTTTCATGTAACATGAAACAAAATCAGAACATGGTCTTATCACCACCTATCAGTATGGAGATAACTCCTGTGCACAGATACCTAAAGCAAGGAGAGGAGAACAACTGCTAAGCGACAAAAAAGGGACTCCATCCATAAAAGACAATTTCTGAAGCTTAGAAAACAGAATTCATCAAGTGCTCATAAAAGAATTTCAGTGTTTAATCAGAGCGGAAAGGGGAAGTTCACCTGTACAAGGTTTGATTTGAGACCCAATGCAAAGGACAGTTTAATAAAGGAAATACACAGGCAGGCAAAATACAAAGAGGTGTTCTTTTGAAAACAGCAGGGGTAGGCCACATGGGCATCTTGGAAAGAAGAGTGAAACTTCACAAAATAGTTTAATAAATTTCTTTCTCGAACTTACATGGTAAAAACTGATAAAAATAAGTCAGTAATGACAATTACTGTAGTTCTCTGCTACTGAACTAGAAATGACTTACAGAAAATGTCTCCTTTCATTTCCAGGTGGGCCTCATCAGCGGGATCTGTATGATTGTCGGGACAATTATCGGGTCGGGTATCTTTGTTTCTCCCAAATCAGTACTTGCCAATGTTGAAGCTGTGGGTCCTTGTTTGACCGTCTGGGCAGCCTGTGGAGTTCTGGCAACATTAGGTAAAGGAGTCAACAAAGAATCTGAATCTTTGCCTAAATCTTTATGTCTACTGCTTCTGCAGACTACTGTCATTTCACAAATTAGCTAAAATCAATGAAATACTGATGTATATATGCATAGCAGCACTGGGCCATAAATTTAAAATGTGCTGTTTATAAAAGATAAATTAAGTTTTTAAAATTGCAAATCGCACTCTCAATTTATTTTGAAATCAACTTTTAATTTTGCTGGCTTCATCCACTGACTGTAATAAAGAGAATACTCTTCTACTTAAATCACTGTCAGAATGTGACATTTCCTGGCAGTCACCTGGGTGCTTCTGCTGGTTTTCTACTTGTGTAATTCTAATTCTATTATCTGGAAATTTAGACTAAGCACCTCCAAATATTTCAAGAAGTAAAACATTGAGCAATGTATCAGGGGACACAGCATAGAAAAAAACCTTAATGCAGGATGCCAGATACAGCAATAGATCTGGAAGTGTCCCTGTACTTTAATGATGAGCTTAGCAGACGTGTTGCTTCAAAACTGTGCAGCAAGTCTGTTTTTTTCAGGTTTCCAAAAGGAATGTCAGCAAGTGCTGTTCTCACTTAAATGCTTCTTGCACTGTTGGTTTCTTAAACATAAATCTAATATGAAATGAGAACGTTTGTGCTGGTTTTGGCCAAGTCTTAAACACCAGTAGTAGGAATTTTTGGACTGTATCTTATTAATTTCAGGGTATTTTTTCCAATTGCTCACAAGTAATTAAAATTTGATTTTTGCACATACAGTAAAATATACAGAAACATGAAGAGGGTAATGATGCACTGTAGATATCAATTTCCTTAACTTTTCTAGCTGTTAAAAAGTGATCATCTGATCTAGCCAGTCACAGGTTAAAAAGGGCACGACCTCAACCTGCTCTTCTCCTTGCTCAGGTGCACTTTGCTATGCGGAGCTCGGAACGATGATCACAAAATCTGGAGGGGAATATCCTTACCTTATGGAGGCATTTGGCCCCATTCCAGCATTCCTGTTTTCCTGGACGAGTTTACTGGTCACCAAACCCAGCTCCTTTGCCATCATTTGTCTCAGCTTTGCAGAATATGCCTCAACTCCTTTTTACCCAGGCTGTGATCCGCCCCAGGCTGTCGTCAAGTGTCTTGCAGCAGCAGCCATTGGTAAGAGTCCCACTGTTTAAAGAATCATCATCAATCATCATCATGGCCGGGCTTTGCAAATGAAGATTTGGGAAGGGCTCTATCCATATTTGTTACAAGCACATTGGTGGCTAAAAAGGCCAATATGAGATAGACCCATCCAGTTGCAAAAGGCACAGCAGAAAGACTCCTTAGGTGGGAAATTCTGCAAGACACGATTCTTTCTGCGTTGTCTTTTCTCCTCCAGGGTGATCCTGCTGCGTTCTCAAAGGCATCAGCAGCGTTAGAGATGGTGTGTCTCCAGACCTCCCCACTGGAGGCCAGAGTAGACCAGTTATGGTGATCAATATGGCCAAGGCTGAGATGTTGTTTCAGGGAGTCCTTGTATCTCCTCTTTGGGGCTCCTCTCTTGCAGCAGCCGGTGGCAAGTTCCCCATAAAGCAGGATCTTAGGGAGGGGGTGCCCTGCCCAGCAGCAGGGCCTCAATGCTTGTGACTGCTGCTTGTTCTAGAACAGACACATAGTCTGTTCTGTTAGTCACATCATCTGACCAGGGGATGTTTAGGATTGTGCGGAGGCAGCGTTGATGGAGCGTTCTGGAAGTCGCAGGTGGTGGCGGTAGATGACCCATGATTCAGATCCATATAAGAGAGTAGACAGCACTATGGCTCTGTAAACACTGATCTTGGTACTTTTCTTCAAGTGTTTATTTCGCCAAACTCTCTTATGGAGCTTTCCAAAGGCACTGTATGCCTTTGCTAACCTGTTGTCTATCTCTGTCAATCTCACCATCCGAGGAGATGAGGCTGCCTAGGGAATTAAACTGCTGGACTGATTTGAGCTCTGAGTGGCCAATGGTGATATGGGGATGATGGAAGACTTCCTGAGGTGCAGGTTGATGGAGAACTTCTGTCTTCTTTAAGCTGACTTCCAGCCCAAAGAGCTCAGCAGCCTCAGCAAAGCAGGATGTTAAACGCTGCAGAGCTGCTTCTGTGTGGGCGACAAGGGCGGCGTCATCAGCATAAAGCAGCTCCTGGACAAGGTGGTTTAAGGTCTTAGTATGATATGTCTTTTAAAGACATATCAGACCCAAAATTGCACAATGACTTGGGTTTGGCCCCATCAGTAAGTGCACATCAGCACCCTGAGACTTCCTGAGCTTCACCTTCACAGAGACACCAGAAATCTTTAAGGCACAGTATAGTCAGTCCTTCCCATAATAACTGATTCAACAGCATATAAAAAGGGTAGGTTTAAAGGTGGTTTGCTCCCAGTACAAGGTTTTTTTATCCTTTTTAAAAGATAGATACAGCTGTATAATGAACGCTTACCTCTAGCAGAAAAGGAAGAAATAATAAGCTATTTCTGTACTTATCAGAATGCTGTGCAGCTTCAATGTGTTTTTTTGTTAAGGGTACTCTCAAAATCTAATTCAGAAAAGTGTTTTTCCTCACTATTTTACAAGTTATCCAAACACAGTATGTTAAAAACTCTATATAATATAGTCAGAGTGTGAGGAAAAAGCAGTACAGTATTGAAGGAGGGGGGTGTGTTTAGGGTTAAAGAGGCAACCTTCCTTTCAATTTTGACATATTTAATGCAAAAATTCCTCATTTTATTTCTTTTAGTGGTGATTACAATTGTGAATTCACTGAGTGTGAAGCTGGGAAGTTACCTCCAGAATTTTCTCACGGCTGCTAAAATGATCATTGTCACAATCATTATTGTAAGTGGCATTGTTCTCCTTGCACAAGGTAATCAACTATACATTCCTTGAAAAAATTAATTTAGCTTCTGCTGTGAGCATTAATAAATTCCCCACTAGTGGAAGTGGCACAGTAATAAGGCACAGCCCTGAATCTCTTTACTCAGGGTTTTAGTTCTGCATCTCTTGGTAATTTCTTTTAGAGGAGGGGGTTGGGTGGGAAATGCCACACTACAGATCAATTAACACCTTCTGGTATTCTAACAGTGAGAAGTTTAAAAACATGAGAAAGATAATGGAATATTTCTTCTTCTGATGGGGATTACAAGAACTAGTTTCAACACTGACCCGTAATTTACATCTTATTTGCAGGAAAAACTGAAAACTTCAAAGATTCTTTCAAGGACAGTAAAATTTCTGTCAGCTCTATCAGTCTGGCATTTTACAATGGACTCTGGGCATATGATGGATGGTGAGGAATCTTTACTAGCCTTGACAATTACAGTTTACCAGCCTTTAACCAGTTCACTCTCTCCCCATTGAACTCGGGAAAAGTTAACATCTGACTTGTTATTGAGAAGCTCATGGTGAATTTTGGAGAAACAACACCACTGGTTAAAAAGCATCAAAACCTCCACCCCCTTTTATTAGGGAAAGAAATTATTCTGAAATTATTCTGAAATTATTCCTGAAAGGACCTACTGCTTTATACTTCATACTTTAGTAATGGGAGAAATATAACCCAATTTAGTTCCATTGTCTCAGGCAAAATAGCTTTCCCTACAGGTTACCCCACCAAATTCCATTTCTTGGGAAATATCTGGTGGTGTTTGATCAGTACAAGAGCACATAGAAAAGAACATTGGATCAGAAGTCATAAAGCTCAACTTGCAGATCTTTTCTTAGGGAATGTCAGTTGGCCCAGGGCTCTGTTGGCACAAATCCATTAATGCTGTTCTTAAATGTTCAAACTGCAAAAGTCTGCATATAGGTCTGTAGTTTGGAAGGAATACATATATATATATTATATCTTATATATATAATATATATTTTAATATATATATTATACTATTGACTTATATATATATATATATATATATGTATCTTGACTTACACCAAAACAAGTCCCACTTAAAAGCTTTTAAAACCGAATTTATTTTTAAATAGGTGACTCTTTCGGGTTCTATTGCCAAACTTGAGTGTCTCAACTCAGGCGTTTAAGTCTGCTAATTCAGACATTCATGAGGACTTTTTGAGGAGGAAAGAAGCTGGTGCCTAAATAATGATTTGCATGGGTAACACCAGGCACTAACATTTGAAAATTTGCCTTTTGAACCGTAAAAATCATTTCTTCACATTTTTAGAGTAGAGGAGTAAAAATCTTGTTTCAATCTGGTCTACATGCTGTGGCAAAAATGACTATTTGGAAATTAAAATTCAGATAGGTGTGATCCTTAAAGAGGTTTTCCTTAAAGCCAGTTTTCTAAAGACAGGATGATGAAATATCAGCAGATTTGCTTCACCCCTTGCCCTCAGCACCCTTGTGGTTTTATTTGAAAAGACTCAGGTACTGCAAAGCTTGAAGTTAAAAGGCAACCTTGTAAATCTGAGATTTCTGCCAAATTTTCCTTTCATTATGCGGGGATATTTTATCCAATATCTCAAAATCTCAGAGATAATGGAGACAGACATGGTGAATCAAGAGGCTGGCATTTGGATGAGAAGCTCACATAGGTTTTGTCCTGCAGTTTTCCCACTTAAAAAGATTGGTTATAGTGGTTTGGGCTTTTTTTTTAACTGAAAAGGTAAAAAGCAATAACATAAATTAACACCTGACCTCAGAGTATAGAAGTATTTAAACAACAAACTGCTAAGATATGAATGTTTTTCCTTCCAGGAATCAACTCAATTACATCACAGAAGAACTTCAAAATCCTTACAGGTAGGAGAGCACTGTTTCTATTGGCAAAATTCAAACTCTTAATATTTTTCTACAAGCAAGCATATACTTTGGGTTGTTTTTTAAAAAAGCAGCAATTATTCAAGGTTTGAGCACTAACAGACAAAGCTAATTTGCACGTATTTCAGGCTTTGTATTTCTGCATAAATTTATATTTTTATAATCCTGATTTCCATAGCTCTGCAGTAAAAAAAAATAAATGTAAATACACCTAAAGAGCATATGTGGCAGAGTCCACAGTGTACTATGACAACTCTAGAAATGATACAGCAATGCTGATGGGGTCTTACTTTTGCATTCTTTAGAAATCTACCGCTCTCTATAATTATTGGGATCCCCTTGGTGACAGTTTGTTACGTTCTGATCAACATTTCCTATTTCACCGTCATGACTTCAACAGAACTCCTGCAGTCCCAGGCAGTTGCTGTGGTAAGCCACTTTACTTTGTAACAGAGCATCTCAAGAGGGCTGGTGTGCATCCCAGTCCTGCACATCATGAAGTTCCTCCTTAGGAACCTGGAATTCTTCTTGAGCTACACTTAATTTCAGTCTGAGCTATCAGTGTCACCTTCCCCCCCCCCCCCTTATCTACTGTCATTTCTTACTCTAAGATTTCAGTAATGCTTAATTTCTACAGTAGTTCTGTCATATCCCAACGGGGAAAAAAAAAAGAGGGAGCAAAATACTGCAGTGTTCAGCTAAGGTTTTGTAAACAGTGCAGCTCAGAGGGCTTTCCACAGGCATCAAAGAATGGAAAGAGAAATAACATCTGACAGTTGCTTTGCCCTTTTCAGCGTTTTCAGGATTTCTGAGAAAGAAGCACATGCCAAATGACAGTAGATCAAAGTTTGTTGTTCTGGAGATAACAGCAAATAGTCCATAATTCACTTTCACCTTATTCTTTTTGTTGTTGTTTTTTTCTGTTTGTTTGTTTTTGGTTTTTTTTCCCTTAACAAATCTGAAAGATACAATTTTTACCTTATTGCAAGACATACTGTTATAGGTAAAATTAAAGATGACGTAGATTTCTGAAATCCTAAAAAAAAATACACCTGTCCCCTCACTTCCACTCAGTAAATTTTCAGTGGGACACCTGTCTCTGAAGCAGCTGTTGAGGTCATGCAGCAATTTTTCATGATGTTAGTTTTTGGGGAAAACAAACAGTATGTGACAAGCATGCAAAACACAGCGTGGCAGAGTGAAGTACACTAATGTTGAAATACTTAGAAATGTTTAAAAATGAAAGCTTTTCTAATTCAGATCTTCAGTATCTTGTTTGCACCAGGGGGTACAGCAATGTACGTGTCAAATGATACCTTGTTTAAGAACCAGTCCTCTTCAGCACACCGTTAAATTTACAGTCTGAACAAACATCTAGCATTGAACTCATCAGTTTAAACTGACAGTATCTCAGACCTGGCACTGAGCAAAAGGACAGAGAGGTCTGCACAGCTGTGAGTACCCTTTGGAACAGCACTGATGTCAGAGCTGGGCAAAAACAAAGCTCTTTTTATGCCTGACTTACTTAAAAAAAAAAAAAAAAAGTTAACCACCCCCCACCTAAAAACTCAAAAGCTTCCTGTCAAAAACATTTAAATTCAAATTAATTTGCAGTAGAGCAACGTGCCTACATGAGACCTAATCTATCCTGCAGCAACAACTCCCATCCCACGGCACAGGTGACAACTCGATGCACTGAAGGACCACAGGGAGTTTGTCCCTCCCTGCTCCCCCCAGGCTGGGGCTGTCACTGCTGCTGTTACTGCCTCTGGAGGGGCTGCAAACAGCTTGTTGGATGGACAGTGCTCTGTAGCAATGCCATCTGCCCTTTTGGTTTTTGGCAGACACATCCCAAAGCAGGTGGCTCTAACAGCATTTCAGTTCTGTACACTTTTTACATCTGTCTTCCAGTATTTCCTGCAGGTGCTGCATCTTAAACATCATAACAACAGCACTCCACTCCATTTTATAGAGTGGTCCATGAATTAATCCAGGTTTTCATTTGGCAAAGCATTCCTTAGGAACTACACAAAATATACAACCTGTTTTTATTGGTAGAATGTCTCAGATACCCACTTACTTCACTCACAAAGAGTATATATATATATACACCTAAAGTATAGGTATATATGTAGTAAACCATATATATAGTAAACCATATATATAGTAAACCATATATATAGTAAACCATATATATGGTAAACCATATATATGGTAAACCATATATCAAGTATATATATATTTTATATATATATATATACACACTATATATATATATATACACTATATATATATAAAAATAAAATATACCTCAGTATAAGTTGTTACAATGACAAAAATGGCTCATTTTAATAATTTTAATGGCTCGTTTTTATATATAGTAAACCATATATATAGTAAACCATATATCAAGTATATATATATTTTATATATATATACACACACTACATATATATACACTATATATATATACACACTATATATATATACACACTATATATATATACACACTATATATATATATATATACACTATATATACATATATAAATAAAAGATACCTCAGTATAAGTTGTTAAAATGACAAAAATGGCTGATTTTAATCCCATATCCCAGACATTTGGAGACAGAGTCCTTTATCCAGCCTCGTGGATAGTTCCTCTCTTTGTGGCATTTTCTACAATTGGATCTGCCAATGGGACCTGTTTTACTGCAGGCAGGTAAGTTCCTGTTCTAAATATCTTCAAAGGACAGTTTTTGAAGGGTGTAAAAAGTTATACTCACATTTATGTACCCACACAAAGACATTCTTCCCATCCACGTTATACAAAATGTAATTTGAAAATACCTGTAAATCTACCTATGTTGATTAGTTTTCAAAAAGAAACAGTGGCTATTCAGGTTTGACAAATTAGAAAATAAGGTCATATTCTTAATTCAAAGCAGGTATAGTACAGAAGGGTTTTGTCACCTCTGATCAATTTTAAAGCTGAGAATTAAACAGTGAAAAATTACCAGTAAGAACACGACTACACCAGTAAAGATAAAGGAAACTGGAAAGAGAAGCTATTCCTTTCTATCAGTTATTCAATGCTTCCATTTACTACTTCAAATATTTTAAAATTTCAAATCCAACTGAATGCAATAGGGCTGTAAAAACCATTTGGTGACAAAAAGTTGTCAAGGTAGCTATTTGATAAGAAGCAAATGAAAAAGGAATTAGTTAATTAAAAGGGACACAGCAGTTTCCATTTCTCCAAAATAATCTTCTATTAAATGTGCAAACTAATGATTCTGAAATTAATTTCAAATTTCCTATTTTAATACTGGTTAAGAATCAGTTTCTAGTTCACTGCTTTAATACTGGCCATTTCCCTTCTTACAATCCACTGCAAACATATTTAAAAAGAAAATACTGACAAAATTATAATCAGATTGTATAGCCACACAATAAAACAAACCTGAAAATGAATGGTACTCATCTATTGTTCAGTAATGCCACTTAAAATCTGATTTTAAGTGCCAAACTGACGACACCTCCTTGTTTTTCTTTTGGCAGACTCGTTTATGTTGCAGGCCGTGAGGGGCACACGCTGAAGGTGTTGTCTTACATCAGTGTTAAACGTTTAACACCAGCCCCTGCCATCATGTTTTATGTAAGTAGAAATTCTGAGTACAGAGAAACTACCAACAAAAATTCTCCGGCAACACAGTTTCTTACAAGCAGTCCTGACATGCATCCATGAGTACCCAGGCAAGAAAATTGGAAAAAAGACTATATTACCCCCTCCCAGCTTCTCCATTTGAATATATTCATTCCAGAACCGGATTTTAAAAATCAAAATGTTTAAGATTCAACAGCATGAAAACATAAAGTTAAATGTATGATTACCATAAGGCAATCCTTTCCCAGGATGCTCAAAAGCAAACTCTCACTACCCTGTTTCCTCCATGGAAGAATACACTTACATCTCACTAAAAAAAATTCTAGTCTGTAAATATGTTTAAAAATAATTCTAGAGCATCTTGGGGTTTTTTATTTTATCTTCAGGGCATAACAAGATACATTCAACCCCAGGAACATTAAAAACCTAAAACCACATTTAGTATCTTCAAGAGAAGCAGTCAACAATAAAACAGATTACTGCGTAGAAATTATGAGTCTTTTGACTTAAAATGGAATAAGATTGCACACAAAAGCAACCACGTGCTGGCAGGATGTGAGCACAGCCTTTAAAGGTGCTGCAACACACTCACACTCCAATGGTTGAGCAAAAGCATTCACAGTTCACACTTTGGAACACTAAGCACCTGTAGTGACACGTAAGTAAAATTCTGCCTGGTTCTGTAATAGACTACATTAATTTCTGTTTTCATTTTTAGGGGGCCATTGCTATTATTTATATCATTCCCGGTGACATTGACACGCTCATCAATTATTTTAGCTTTGCAGTCTGGATATTTTATGGTTTAACAGTATTTGCACTCATTGTTATGAGGTTTACAAGGAAGGAACTTGAAAGGCCTATCAGGGTAAGTTCATCATTCCACGTGGCTTTTCCTCCACTCCCATAAATGCTATAGATGAACTCATCCTAATATATTTAAACAGCACCCTTGGGCAGACTCCTTGTTTTTTTATCCCCTCACCAGCCATTTATTTGTAGTTATGCATCAGGACAAAGCTCATAAGAGCTGAGGAAAGAGTGCATTATGTTGATTTTCACTTGCACAAACCACGGGGCACAAGCCAAATTTCCAGGAATGGGAACCTGCAGTCTGCAGACTACACTGCAAGAGTATCCCAAATAAGAGCTCGGGTCATTCCACTGGAGTTTGGTCCCAGATTCATTAAAATGCAAATTTTTACACTGCAATTGGCAATACTGACAAAGAGATCTTAGCGAATGATTTAGCAGAAGAGTTTTCTCCATCCATATTCTTGCTACTCTTTCAACTGCCCCATCTGATTCCAGAAATTTTAAAAGGAAAAAAAAAAAGGCAATCAAAATATTCTTTCATACAGGCAGCTTCTGTCAGATCAGCAAAAGAGTGGAGCAGTGACTGTGTGTTCTGTGCCTTGCAGGTGCCCGTCATCATTCCTGTCATAGTGACTCTGGTCTCCATTGTCCTGGTGTTGGCACCAATCATCAGTGCACCTGAACTGGCCTATTTGTACTGTATTTTATTTATACTCAGTGGACTCATAGTTTATGCACTTTTTGTTCATTTTAAATTCAGCTGGGCCCAGAAAATATCAAGTAAGTACATACCTCAGGTAGGCAGCTCCAAACTCAAGAGTACATCTGCTAAGCTCGAGGTTAATTACTGTGATGAAGCTCCTTGTCTGGTCCTGGGAAGGGAAGGAATTTCCCAAATGTGTATTGAGCTTTGCTGAAGACTCTATTTTACTCCTTCCTGTGAAAGAAAAGGGATGTCTGACTTGAGGAGAAATTAAATTTAATTCACAAAAAGGCAACACAGCACTGTAGTAGCACAAAGAAACTGAATTTTAAAGTTAACAGAACTATTCTGTCTGTGAAGTTGGTTTTCTGGTTATCTGTGTTTCAAAACATTGCTTTAGCCATGAACTAGAGATTAGCAGACACAAATTCTGATGCCACCAAAGAGAGTTTTTATTATACTTACTGAAGTAAATGTTAACAGCATTAAGATAAAAGAATGATCACAGTGCTGAGTACAGTGAAAGCTGCAAGAACCCAGTGACTGTTATAAACTGATTTTGCTTAGTCTCCAGAAAAACTCCTTGTAATTATTTCAGGGAAACCAGGATACACAGGTAAGAGGTTAATTGGAACTGGCTGAATAGAACAGGATTAGTTGTTCTACAGACATTCAAAAAAATCCATCAGCTGTCTCTCCCCTCCCCTGGGATTATTAATTATAATTCAGTTATGCAATTAGAAGCATTGTACTCTAGTAAGAGCAAGTTTGGAAACCTGGAATGCTGTAGTTTGGATCTTAAGACTATTTTTATTCCCCAGCTGTTATTTTTTAAGTTTGAAATAGGAATAAAAAAGGACAACTGCTTGGAAGGATAATTTTCTCACTCAGTAGTCTGAATTGAGATATTGTTCTCTCTCATAAAGCCTCTAACAATAACTTTTTCCCTCAGATCCCATCACTATGCACCTCCAGATGCTTTTGGAAGTTGTTCCACCAGAGGAAGTTGCCACATGAAATATTTTCTTCCTACCAGGTTGCTTTTAAGTGCTGTATTGGTTGAAGTAGATTTGATTTAGTTTGGCAGATATATATATATATATATACTTGCTAAATTGTTATGTTCATACTGGTGTGTTATTTTTGCAACCCTTTAGTACTTGAAAACATTAAATATATATAATAAAAAAAGATTTCTAAGACAGGTTACAGCAAAGCTGTTTCCATTGTTTGCTAGTATGTTATAGTGTCTTGTTTTCTGCATGAAAATTACTCAAAATACACAAGAGGAACTTTTCAATTATGGAGGTGGCAAAACTTAGCAGCAACAGTGTCGAGATGCTTTTGATGACACTATGAAAAAAACAACATAGTTGTTATTAACAGCTCTTATTAACAGCATCACAGAAAGCACAGATATCACACCAGAGCTGCTCTGTTCTCAGGTTCTCAGACCAGCTGTCAAAAAGTTAAAGGCTGGGAAAGTGGGAATCAAGTAAAAATGTAAAGCACAGTTGACAGAAGCTGATTTTTCATGGGTTGGTTTGTTCGTTTGGTTTTTTTAGTTACATTCAAACAAGATAAATCAACTAAAGCTTCATTTCTCAGGTGTGTTTTCTCAACGCCATCCGAGCTACGGAACAATTAAATGCCACAGAATTTACCCTTAGCATGAATGTGAGGTAATGATCATTGTAGAAACCCCCCACCTGGTAGCTGATGAAAATAAAATACAAGAAACAGATCTTACATTAACATATATAAGCAGATTTTATGCACTTCCTTCCGAATCTTTGGCTCTTTCTCCGCGTCCCTCCACCTCGCTGGGTAACAGGTCTTCATCTCCTTTGTTATCCAAAAGCTCATCAATTCCGGGCTCCTGCTGTGTCTCTGTGGCCCCTCACCTGGTTGGCATCACCCATCCTCATGCCCTTTATTATCCCAAAGGTTGGCACTTCGTGGCCCCTTGTCTCGGGCTCCCACCCACAGTTCAATCTGCATTTCTATCTGCAGTTCGACCTGCAGTTTGCAAGCCGAGCTGCCCGGACCAAGTGTGTTCCTCAACAGTTTAGTGGCTAAAGAATAGTTACAGGAAAGCAGACGCACCACAAACACTCTTTTCTCTACCAGTAATCATAGAAATATTCAATCAAAATGAAATAATTTTTCTTGTCTTACTAAAGTATACGCTTAAAAAAAATTGCAAGCACTCACAAAAGCGATACTTGCACATGTCAGCACAACTTCTGAATTTCTGCTAAGTATTCTGGATAGTTCCCAGACCCGTGGGCAAAATCTCATTGATCCACACCTTCATTCTAGAAAGGCTGGTAACCCCGACCTTGAATTACACAACGCGATAAATGGAAACCACAGTTCTTAAATGCTCTCTCTGCAACTCAAAGCTGTTCTTTAAGTAACACTTTAAACACAGCCCTACTTATTTACACCCAGCCCTATCCATTTATTTATAGGCAATTAGTTTTCTCTCCTTTTTCAAACAGGGTAATTGCTCAAGCAATTAGTAGCTCGTCCTGTCTAACAGAACCAAGATGGCAATGAAGTAACACAATCCTTGCCCTGCTCATGCAAGTGACAGCCCAAATACCCATCACAGCATTAGATTAACTCCGACTTCCAAACGACAATGAAACTGCTGGGGGGGAGGCACGGTAAGAAAAACAAAAGCCTAGAAATCGGCAAAAGGTTGAGACAGACCATTCGGGAAACGAAGCTGCTGAAGAGAACGGCTTCCAGAAAATTTTCTCTTTCCACTTAATTTTTCAGCTGACCGAATGGTCAGATGGAAAACATAGCACGATGCTTCCAAAGCACGGGAGTGACTTACTGTTGGTCCTCCGCTTTGGCACGACCAAGCAGCCACAAGAGGGACAGCTCAGTCCCGAGATACAGGGAGGCTCCGAGGCTGAATTTATGCAAGTCCACACCGCCATCGTGTGGTGTTTCTATGAGAGGTAAAAGTGCTCAGGTAAAAGCTTTTTGTCCCACAGTTTTGGATCCCGGCTTTTCCAGACTCAAAGGATGTGATCCTGCACATAGCCGGGAAGGAAGGCGAGTCGTCTCATGGTTGCTGTGCGGTTTATAGGCTGCAAAAGAATTCCAGCACTTGGTTCTTTCTTCCAGAACCTTTTCTGAGGGACGTTTTTAGTTTTGTAACTGGGCTCTGTGAGACTGAAAGTGTTTGAGAGTACACAGAGCTGAGCACATAGACCGGGGTGGGTCTACACCTACACTGCAAAGGGAAGGTGAAGGCCAGAGCTGACTTTTTGTTCCAGGACTTTTGGTATGGGAGCAATTGCTGGATGTATTAAGGTTTGAAGCTGGGCTCTGCAAGAGGAAAAGAATACGATGGTGAGCAGGAAAGTGCTCAGCTCCAGAGGGTGAGCTTCTTTTCAAAGGATGAGAGCTAAATATGGAGACAACAACAGCTGGCTCAGCAGGCACCTATTTACACTTGATACAGTTAGTTCAGGGAGAGGATCTCTGCCAGACTGAAGGACTGCGGTGGTACTTAGAGCTTGAAAGGAAAGCTCGTAGCCCCGGTGCACGTGGTGATGTTGACACCCCTCGATGTGCCTGTGAAACCCAGTAACTCTTTTCTCCCCTTTGGCTTTCAGATTAAAATTATGGAGCTGGGCTCAGCGAGAGAGCCAAAATGTAACAGTGCCCACAGCTGGAAAAAAAGCACACCACCAGTGCATGTTGTGCAGTCTAATGCTGCATGGGAAGAGTGTGCCCAGCACTGTCTTTTTTGTTCTAGGACCTCTTTTTATATATATATATATATATATATTTTTTTTTAGGGAAGGAGAAGGGGTAATCTAGGAACTCCTTCTGTCCCGACACTTTTTTCTCTGTGGGATGTAGATGGACACTTTGGACCCTGCGACGCTGAATGTGTGGGACAGGGACTGAGCTGCGAGTACGAGTTTGCACAGACCAGGGGGAAGGTCAGTGAAAGCTCTCTGTCCTGGCACATTTCTCTGTCCTGGCACATTTCTCTGTCCTGGCACATTTCTCTGAGACAGCTGTAGCTGGAAACTCTTTGGTTAAACTCTGGACTCTGTGAGATCGAAAGAATGCCACGGTAGATAGAGCTGAGAAGCAGATGGTGTTCGCGGTGGTTTACACGCTCCAAGGGGAAGGCAGCGAAATCTTCTGTGCCCGTACATTTCCTTGGAGAGCAGTGGAGGACGTTTTCAGCTTTGGATCGTCACATTCAGTGTTTTGGAGGGAACCCTGATGTATTTTCGTCTTTCTCGAGCACACAGCGCTATCTAGTGGACCTTGCCCAGTGCCAGCCTCCAACAGTTCCACCGCACGGCGCTGCAAGCACAGAAAACAACCCCCCGAAGTGCGGATCCAAAGGTTTAGTCACCGCTCTCAAACGACGTGCGGCAGGACAGAAAGGTTTGGCTGACCTTCCCCTTTCATGTGCGAACTCTTATTTGCACCGCACTCAAACGGAAACGTGAACTCCTTCCCAATTAATTATGTGTACTAATAATTTTTTTCCCTCTCACAGAGTCCGATTACGAAATTAAAAACATCCTGAAAAACATACAGCTCACAGAAGTGCCAGGGGAGCAAACTGTTGCTGGGTCACCTTCAAGTGCACCCACTGAAGAGCACCACACACCCTGGGATCTGCATTTCCTTTTCAACTCTACATTCCATCATAATCCTTCAGTCTCACAGAGTCAGGATCCTAAGCCAAACCCCACCACTAACAGCTCAGAGAGTAAAAAAACAGGACAAAAAGCTCAACAGCTTGGTTTTTGCATTCCCCCTGTAGTGGATCAAAAGCTCTAACCAATAGCATTGTAAACTAGGAAAAAAAAATTAAGTACACCAAGATCACCCAATGTGTGGATCTAAAACTGGTTTCCATGCCACAGAGAGGAACTACGACACTACATCTCAAAAGAAATATGAAACATCCCCCCCCCAAAAAAAAAAAAAAATAGAAAATAACCAAGGATTGATGCTAGAACACTGTTATGGGGCAATGTGCTTTCCTTCTCAAGGGAAAGAACCATAAATACACGTTCGAGAAACCACCACCAAAACTTGGTTTCCATCTCCAAAATGGAATATATCCCAGGCTTGCTCCCAGGGCAGGAAGGTTTGGCTGGTTATTTCTGCCCTGGGCAGCCCATCATCTGCCACTGAAACACTGGGGCTGTGAGCTTTCCTTCCCATGGGAAAGAACTGTAATTCCCTGTCAAGAAACCGCATCAGAAATTTCCCTTCCACCTCCAAAATTGATTATGTCAAGGGATTGCTCCGTAAGAAAAGGTGCCAGGACAGAAAGGTCTTGCTGCCCGAGGAGTGACCTGAGCTGCCCATCATCTGCACCTGAGACCCCGAGGCTACAGCCTTTCTTCCCTGGGGGACAGGGCTGTCCTTCACTTGCAGGGTTCCAAGTCGCCCCCAAAAAGCCTCATCGCCTCCTGAATCCCCATCACCCCCATCCCCTCTAAGTCCCAAATGGCACATAACCAGGTTCCTCTCCATTTAAACCCTTAAAAATGCAGGACAACAGGGAGTCCCCTTCAACTTGAACCTTAAGATGATAAAAATGGGGATTTTTGCCCTCAGTTCAAAGCCAGAAAATGACACCATGAGCGTTTTCTCCTTCCATTTAAACCTGAAAATAACAGAAAATTAGGAAATCCCTGTCAATTGAACGAATCCCCTAAAACTTGCCTAAAGGCAAGTTTTTCTTCATTTGAAATCTCTGATGAAGGGGGTTCACCCTCAATTTAAACACACACAGTGATGGCAGAGGAGGTTTTTCCCACAATTTAAAACTCTTTTCCTTCCAACCCCCCGCTTTTTTTTTTTTTTTTTTTTTTGTGGTTACTGGGGAGGAACCGGGAAGAGGAGTTGGAAAGGAGGAAGCCCTTCCCTGCACCCCCCCACGCTGCCCCACCCGCTCAGATGCGGGTCCCCTCTCCTGCGCTGGCCCCGGCACCTTCCTGGGGCAGAGCTCCCTCTCCAGCTGCATCCCGGTGCTCCCCCGGCCCTCTCACCGTCGATCCTCGAGAGACCCCGGGATGGTCCCCCGGCCACTCCCCCCGGCACCTGAGCCCAGGTGATCCCTGAGGGGCCCCGCCCCCTCATCTCCCTCATCGCTCACTCCTGGGGCTGCCCCGTGTGACCGCTGACTCTGCCAGTGCT